AACTTGGGTCCGAATTCAGAGATACGTACTGGAAAAATCATAGTCATGTGGCCATACAGAAAACCAGGTAACAGTAGGTTAAACTGTAAGTAACACTTATCTCTTATTATTTACCAAAAAGAAGTTTTACTTACAAACTTCTCTTTGTATAGCAATGAGGATCAAATTAAAGAAAAGCTAGTTAAAGAAGTATTAGTCTAATAAGAAATGCTCAGATTTGATTTATTGGAGCTATGAGCCTTATTTAACTTTTAAGTTAACACATTTGGAGCTATCATTACTAATCTAAATTAATTAATTTAGTTGTTTTCAGTTTTAATTTTAGAGAAATATAAACTTGTTGAAAAATTTAGCAGAACATAAACTTATTAACAACAGTTAATAGTCTCACATAACCATTTGAAATGCTTTGTTTCTGCTTGCATTCTCTGCCAAATTTTTTTTCCATTGAATCTGTGCTGCTTCTTTGCAAATGTTTTCCACTATAGAATCTCCATCTCGCAAACTTGCTTCTTGTGAGCGCATTTACAAAAATTATGGTGTAGCTGTGCCTGCCTCTGCTCTCTCAGCTCTGTCACACAAAATGAAGGGTGGGTATGCGTACATTCATGGCTGGGCCATTCTTAATGAACATAGGGGGTTTCAATAGGGAAATTTTAGTTCACCTCACTCATTTTCATCCCATTCCATTTTTTAAGATTAAAGTTTATCATTTTATTTAAATTTTGATGTTTTGAGGTTATTTGTGATGTATCTTCAATATTATAGTATTCATTACCCTAACTGATATGCATGTTGACTATAACTGTAGGTTAAATATTACTCTTATTTCATTTCAAACCTATGTGAGATCTTAAAAAATAAAATAAGTAGTATATAGACAAAAATGCCTGATTTGGGGAGTTGTAAAATCTTTATTATCAGAACAAGATGGTATATATGTAAGTCATGAAGCACAATGTGATCTATAAAAATATAGTGTCTTATGTGAATGGTTAGTCTTAAACTCATTTTTCTGTTATATAATGTAAAAATCACTGTTCTATTTTAGATTTTTTTATGAGAAACACTTTGATAATTAAGTTAAAGTTTTTTTAGTTTTACTTAGTGACCATGGCACATAAATACACACACACACACCCCTACGTGTCTGGCACGAGTCTCCCTTGTAGTATTTTCTTAGTTACGTAGTTTTAAAATTTTAAACTTAGTAATGTTTAAACTATATTGACAACTGATAAAATTTCAGACAATTTATAAATCTTCTTTGTCTTTTAAAATACTATATATGCTTACATGTTTTCATCTTAAAGTAATATTTAAACTTTTAAAATCCTGTATTTTAAGAAAATTTGATCAAAAGTTTTGCAGCAGTGGCTAATATACTGCATATGTTTGTCAAATAATTATTAATTTTTTTTTCTTGGAAATGGGTAACAGTTTTATATTTCTTTATACAGTTGGCAGTGATGCTATAAATATTATAGTATAATAAATAGTATTGTAGAACCTGATCTCAATAGTACATAGTGTTATATAACCTGATATATACTATATATAATGGCATATCATATTACAGTATAGTTCTACATTCTGCTATATAGTGTGGTATCATATAATGTGATGATTTACAATTTTGGCATGAAAACAATGATGCAGGTTAGTAATGAATGAATACTTAACATTTAACATATTTACTAATTTGTTTGAATGTACTAAATTTTTATCCTGTCATGTATTTTTTTTCTGAATTCCTTTGAGGTTAGAAAATTTTTGCCTATTATCAGTTAAACTTACATATGATAAATATAATCATTAAACTCAATTAAGTGATGAATGTGAAAGCATTATATATGATCTGAAGATTTTTAACAAAGTATTTGTTTATGTTTATTGATATTTCAAGCAGCCACAACATGGCAGTAACATTACATGCCTCAAAACTTTTGAAGCCCAAATGGAGATAAACATTGGTGAATATAGGTTTCCCACACTTCACTTGATATATTCTTTTTTTTTTTTTTCTGCCACCTGTTGGCAGCTCAGCGGCAGCTCAGCTCGGGCCGGGCATCGAACTGCTGTTGCTCAGAGCTCAAACTCTTGAGCGAGCTCTTAAGCAACTGAGCCACTCGGCCGGCCCTTTGACATATTCTTTTTTAAAAAAATGTATGAGATACATTTTGGAAAAGTAGAGTTTTCAAAGGGATTTAATTATAATTTGACAAACCTCAGGAAGAAATAATTGCAGAGTTTTTTATGCCCCTGGACTCCAGCAATTCATCACTATCACCCAGTTATAGTCTTAACTATCACTACTTACAGATCTTAAGAAAATATTCACCACTATTGGAGGTAGAGAGATAAGGTGTACAGATGCCTACACTCTCTAACCCTCTCTATTTTAACACTTTTGCTACGATATAACAAGTGGTGTTCCTGATATTTGAAAGATTCCATTCTTCAATCAGGCACAGAGGAGGGTTTCCTTCATGAGGAATTGCACACCATTAATTTAGAAAGCAAACCTTCGATTTACAAATTGATCTTTTAAGAGACGAGTGCCAGATATAAAAGATTTACTCCTTATTTGTCTAGACTCACCATTATATATGGTTCAGCTTCCAAAATAAATGTGGCGATGAAGGCATTTCCAGCTATCAGATTAGTAACAAAAAATTAGTACTCCCAACATCACACCCTCAAAATTAGTGGCAAGGACTAGGTTGATGTTTAATTCTACCGTTTGTTTATAGAATTTGCTCTATGGATCAAAATATGGGCAGCAGTTTCTTAAACTACTTTTATATAATTTGAGAGCACATATCAAGATTGTAACTTCTTTTCATCTGTGCTCTACCAAAACAGCATCAGTATCTGGAAATTTTTATTCTGTGTTGTGATTTGTTTACCCACTTTTCCCCTGAATTTAGCCCAATCTCATACTGCTTTTATAAAAAAACACTTACATGATAAATGAAGTTCATGATAGAATAATAAAAGATTGCAAAAAACTGAGGAACATTATATTTAGTAGTTACTTTTATTCATCTGGAGAATGAGAATAATTATACTATACACTGGCATGTTGCAATTAAAATAAATATTCAGTTCATCAACATGCCCTAAACAGGCTATTTGCCATACTTCATTATTTTACTACAGAATTACTTAACTTGCAAGCAACTGACCCTTACACAACAATGGCTACTGTCGCCTCTGCCCTGTGAGCCTGGGAGCCATGAATGTGAAAGGTAGATTTTTGGAGAACCTGAAGATTTGGGAGTAGCAGAAGAAAAAAATATTAAGAAAATAGGAATTCACTTACTCATTCAACATGTCTTTATTGAGCACTTCCTGTATCCCAGGATCCATTCATGACATTACATCAGTGAAGAGTAATAGACAAAAATACCAGTCCTTGCAGACCTTTCATTAGGAGGGCAGATTGTATGGCAATACTGTCTTCACCTGTAGATAGCTGGAGTGTAACTGCAAACACATATGTGTGCTTACATGCACATACACACAAGCCAAAAAACATTTCCCCGTGTCATTCAGATTTGTTCAAATATAAAAAAGAAAGGAATACCTGCAATGTAACCAGTTAACAGATTGATCTCAATTTACCAGGTAAAAATATGTAAATACTTCAGCAAGGTTTATGGATTTTCAGTTTTTCATACCATATAAATCATTTTAATCAGATTGTTTTTCTCCCCAAAACTAATATCACTTGCTCTAAGACTAGGAGTTTTTATTTTAGGGAGGAAAGGTAATTTGTAGGTTGTACCACTTACTGACGACAAAGACGACTTGGCCTCAAAGGAAAGTACGAAATAGTAGGAAGGAGCCACACTGAATGAGGGTCAGGACACACCAAGAAGTGTCCATGTGGAAATATCTAGTGCTTTGCCTAGAAAATAGGTGGAATATTTTTCTTTTTATATTTTTAGCTGTTATTTTCCTGACTCCTAATTTCAAGGCCCCCCACAATTCAGACATGTACTACTAATCTGAGGGTCCTCTTTTTTCCAAAGGCACACAAGCTTGAATTCTATCCATCTAAAGTTTAATGAACTAAACACCGTGTTGCCCCAAAAATAAGACCTAGCTGGAGAAGAAGCCCTATCATGATTCCTCCAAGATATGGAGGGCACGCACCCCTCACATGAGGGTTTTTTGACTTGTTTCAGGGAGAAGGGTGGTTTTTCCACAAAGTCCTTCCGCTTAAAAATATTCAGTATGCCAGGGTGCCATATTTAGGCACCTAAAATCATGTGAGGGCTTATTTTCCAGCTAGGTCTTATTTTCGGGGAAACAGTGTAAACTTCTAGAATACAATTTATTTTTAAACAATAGACCACCTGAATTGCATGTAATTAAAATACCTTTGGGCATTCATATGTTAATTCTAAATTATTCCGATCCAATCATTAAAATAGAGTGTCTCCTAAGCAGCTCTTTATTAGCCTAATGTATTTATTTGTGTACTTGAAAATGATAAATTATTTATAAATTCGGCTTCCTAATTCAGTAAGACCTGCACCATTACCCTAATAAGGATGTGAGGTATCACTGTACTGGAAATTTAGCTTGACTACTTTATATTTAAAAATACATGTATTTTCATAATTTTTTTATTCCAAAAAATTAGTTTTGTTGATTTTTTTCTTTTTAGTTCCTCACTGAATTTTAATTCTCATTAATTATTGTACTAAGGCTGAAGTTCAGATATGACAGATAATTTATACTGTTGCATAGGTACTATTTGTTCAGTCTCTTTTGCATCCATGAAAATTGTTTTTGGTGGAAATGATATAGTGATGAAATAGAATTTTATGAGAAATATTTTCCTTTTCTTCCTTTATTTTTCAAGTGTTTCTGTTTGTGACAAGCAATTGTAAATTTTTAACTATGTTTTGTATTTAAGTGTTTAGTGGCTAAATTATCAGTAAGTTATAATTTTATTAACAAGTTTTACTATGAAATGGACCATACAGGTGACCGAGGAACTATCTCAACATCTTCTAGACCAGTCTGTACATCAGGAAAATCAGACCTGTCCTCCAAGTACAGCAGATCAATTAAACCTGATGGACGCATGAGCCGGACGACTGCTGATCAGAAGAAGCCAAGGGGCACAGAAGGTTTATCAGCTAGTGAGTCCCTCATGTTGAAATCGGATGCTGCAAAGCTGAGGTCAGATTCTCACAGCAGGTCATTGTCCCCCAACCATAACACTTTGCAGACACTGAAATCTGATGGGAGGATGTCTTCTAGCTTCAGAGCTGAATCCCCAGGACCAGGTTCTCGGTCATCATCTCCTAAGCCAAAGACTCTCCCAACCAGTAGGTCTAGCCCATCGGGTGCTAGTTCTCCACGCTCCTCCTCACCACATGATAAAAATCTACCTCAAAAAAGCACTGCGCCTGTTAAGACAAAACTTGACCCTCCTCGGGAGCGTTCCAAATCAGATTCTTACACACTTGATCCAGATACCCTCCGCAAGAAGAAAATGCCCCTCACCGAACCATTAAGGGGACGATCAACATCCCCCAAACCAAAACCAGTACCAAAGGATTCAAAAGATTCCCCCGGATCCGAAAATAGAGCGCCTTCTCCCCATGTGGTACAAGAAAACCTTCACAGTGAGGTAGTTGAAGTCTGCACTTCAAGTACTTTAAAAACAAACAGTCTAACAGATAGCACCTGTGATGAAAACAGTGAGTTTAAGAGTGTGGATGAAGGTTCAAATAAAGTTCATTTCAGCATAGGAAAAGCCCCACTGAAAGATGAACAGGACATGAGAGCATCCCCCAAAATAAGTAGAAAATGTGCTAATAGGCACACCAGACCCAAAAAAGAAAAATCTAGCTTTCTCTTCAAAGGAGATGGATCTAAACCCTTAGAGCCAGCCAAGCAAGCCATGTCTCCGTCCGTGGCTGAGTGTGCCAGAGCAGTCTTTGCCTCTTTCCTGTGGCACGAAGGCATAGTACATGATGCAATGGCTTGTTCTTCTTTCTTAAAATTTAATCCTGAACTTTCCAAAGAACATGCTCCAATAAGAAGTAGTTTAAACAGCCAACAGCCTACAGAAGAAAAGGAAACCAAATTAAAAAATAGACACTCACTGGAAATATCATCTGCACTGAATATGTTTAATATTTCACCTCATGGACCAGATATATCTAAAATGGGTAGTATCAACAAAAATAAGGTGTTGTCTATGCTTAAGGAACCACCTCTTCATGAGAAATGTGAGGATGGGAAAACCGAAGCCACTTTTGAAATGTCCATGCATCACCCAATGAAGTCTAAATCTCCTCTTCCTTTAACTTTACAACACTTAGTGGCTTTTTGGGAAGACATCTCTTTGGCTACTATCAAAGCAGCTTCCCAGAATATGATTTTTCCAAGTCCTGGCTCTTGTGCAGTTCTTAAAAAGAAGGAGTGTGAAAAAGAGAATAAGAAGGCCAAAAAAGAAAAAAAGAAAAAAGAAAAGGCAGAAGTTCGGCCCAGGGGTAATTTGTTTGGCGAGATGGCTCAGCTGGCAGTAGGAGGACCGGAGAAAGACACAATCTGTGAGCTGTGCGGAGAGTCACACCCATACCCAGTGACATATCACATGAGGCAAGCTCACCCAGGTAAGTGGTAGTGTTGAGTATATGTAAGTAGTGTTTGTAAAAAAAATAAAGAAGCTAGGTAACTTCTAACTTGAGCTGTTCTGTTAATTATGTTTAAATACAGGGAAGCTATTGCCAGAATTTATAGTATCTTATAATGCAATTTTTAAAGTGCATTATCAGTATAGATTTTTGTGGAAAATAGGTAAAGAAATTCTATTAGTATGATGGTAAGGCAATTTAGTACTATTTCATTTCTGTGTATTCATTGCATTCTGAAATATTGTTTATTTTTTTAAATGCATTACCCAAAGGGTGCTGTTAGGGTGTCTCACACAGTAGAAATAACATGTCATACACTCAGGAAAGATCCCAATATTAGGTCTCCTTTGATTTTAGTGTTTTCCTGCTCAAAATTGCAAATTAAATTAGATAATACTGATTTCTTTGGCATTTTCTTATGGCAGTGATATCAACTGTGTCATCAGAAAACTGTTCTAGATAAATGTGAGGATTTCTGTACCAATTGATTAGTGTTCCAAAATTCACCTATTACAAGTTTGGTTGATTTTTTTTTCTCTTTCTACATATTATACATGAAACCTTTTGTAAAATATATCATTCCTTAAAATATATGAATCTTACAGAACACTTTATACCTATTTTGTTTAATATATTGGCATACTTAAGTAAATCTAAATGTACCCACATCTTATATGTCTTTTCTTCTGCCTGTGTGGAGAATTTAGGCATCGTTTATTTGATTGCTTTTGGGTCAAGCATGCTATTTTTCTAATATACTTAATAACATAAAGAAAAAAAAAAGTCAGATACTTGGTTCAGGATTTTGCCTCCTTTGAGAAGGTACATCTGGGTACATCTGTCATTAGTGTATAAGTGGCAATGATCAGACTACTAAGGACACTTAAAGTGTTAACTGTTTCTTTTTCTTGTTTCAAGGCTGTGGCCGGTATGCTGGTGGACAAGGTTACAACAGCATTGGCCACTTTTGTGGAGGCTGGGCTGGTAACTGTGGTGATGGGGGCATAGGAGGGAGCACTTGGTATCTGGTATGTGATCGCTGTAGAGAAAAATACCTCCGTGAAAAACAGGCTGCTGCAAGGGAAAAGGTATTTTTATTCTGTTCTGGCTATGTGTTAATGATACGGATAAACCTTATAAAAATCTCTTTTTATGATCATATTATATCATATAACTCCACATAGTTGCTATTAAAGATCAGCTTTATAACAGGATTGATATACAAATTTAATACTTATACTTGGCCAGCGGTTTTTATTATATAAATAAAATATATCTTGGGATAACACAAGACAGCTAACATGTGGCATATATGCCTTATGACAAATGTTTATTGTTTAATTCTTATTAATACTCTATATATATACATAGCTGTCTCTTTTTTACTTGCCTTTTTTCTCTTCCATTTTCTTTTTCTACTGTTTATCTCCTTTCTCTTTTTCTTAATCCTTAATAATGTTATAGGACTCGTGAACTCAAGGTCATTCACATTGATGGCACACCCGACTAACAATTTTTGCTGAATATATGCACAGCCACACAGATTATTTACTCTTTTTCCAGACTAGTTATATTTAGATTTTACTAGTTAGGTTTTTAATTTTCCCAAGGAAGGAAAAGATATATAGTTTATGTTCAATATAAAATAGTTTCAGTCAGCTCAGGAGAAGCATGAAGTGAATGTTGTTTTTGGTAATCGCTGTTATTATTTTAAAATGGTTCTACAAGGGCCGGCCGAATGGCTCAGTTAGGTAAGAGCTTGCGCAAGAGTGCGAGCTCTGAGCAACAGCAGCTCGATGCCCGGCCCAAGCTGAGTTGCCGCTGAGCTGCCAACAGGTGGCAGGATGGCTCAGCTAAAAAAAAAAATAAATAAAAATAAAACGGTCCTACAGAGTTTAATAACTTTTATTGAGAGACTCAACATACTAAGGTTAAGAAATGTAGGATTTGAATATACATAGGAAAAGGTCACTCCAAATTTTTCTTTGCCAGGTCAAACAATCGCGGAGGAAGCCAATGCAAGTCAAGACTCCCCGCGCCCTGCCCACCATGGAAGCTCACCAGGTGATCAGAGCCAACGCGCTCTTCCTGCTGTCCCTGAGCAGCGCGGCGGAACCCAGCATTCTGTGTTACCATCCTGCAAAGCCATTCCAGTCCCAGCTTCCCAGTGTGAAAGAAGGCATTTCGGAGGATCTGCCAGTTAAAATGCCTTGTCTCTACCTGCAGACATTAGCTAGGTAATATAACTTGGTTATTTTAGTCAGTCGCTTTGGATTAACAGTTATTGTTGATTAACTGATAGCATGCTCTGAATATTCACGCTATATTACATACTGTGTACAATGAGAGACCTCTAGAAGTTCATTTCCTGAGTCTCCTTGGCCGATATATGACTGGTAGGATACATACTTTATGGTAGTAGGTATTTTTTAAAAACCTGTAAATACTATGTCAGTTTGTATTACTATCAATACAGTATATGTCTTACAAAGTAAGACTTTAGCTATCTTTTACTCTTTGATAAAAGGCTGACTTCATTCTATTAATAACAGGAAGTGCTGAAGTGGAAAGAAACTATTTTCTATAGAAGTCTTTCATTTTTTAAATTATTCATTTTGTTAGCATTTAAACGAGTACCAACTGGTTACTGGCTTTGTGCTAGACCTTGAAGATACCAAGATGATGATAATAAAATCTTGACTTCTGTGTGTTTGCCCTCTGGTGGTAAGGCAAACATGTAAATGAAATATTTAAATGTTATGTGATGAGTACTATAATAGAAGTATGTGCAGGATGCTGTAGAACATAAAAGATGGAGTGTTCCTGAAGTCCCAAGGAAATTAGGAAATGGATCTGAAGCTTTACCAAAGTCTTGAAGGATAAATAGAAATTAATCAAGTAGGTGATGACAGAGTAAATCACATATGTGAGACAAAAATGATGACATAGCATTGTTTAAGGAATTACATACTAAGGTTGGATTTTTATCCCATAGATAAACAGTGGAAGAATTTTAAGCAGAGAAATACATGAACTGGCTTTCAGTTAGAAGATCACTCAACTAATGTAAAAACTGAAGTGTATAATTGTATAAGTGTGGATGGAGAGAAGCCTATTAATAGTGTGCTCTATTCCTGTATTGGACTTGGGTGGTACAGACTGTACTTTTTTTTTTTTTTTTAAGATTTTTATTGGGGAATTGGGGCATGGGAACAGCACTGGGGAATTGGGGGAAGGGGAACAGACAAGTTGCTGTCCTTTTGTTCTTCAGTCTAGTTGTGGAAGACGTTGCTTCACTGGCCCAAGTTGGCACCATCATTGCGCGCTTCCCGGGCGAGGCAGATCAGTCACCAGCTTCTGGACGGCCGCTCACGGTGGCTGCTGGCCGCTCACGCTGGCTGCTGGCTACACACGGTAGCCCATGGCAACCCACTTCAGCAGGGGCTGCAGCCTACGCCGTCTCCGGAGATTCACGGCAGTCCAGCTCCAGGTTGAGCTGTTGTTCAGCATCTTGGCTGTAGAGGGCAGTGTGTCACTGGCCCTCATATGTGGGATCCAAACCGGGGCCCACTGGCGTCCCAGGCCACCTCTTAACCAATGTGCCACTCTACCGGCCCCAGACTGTACTTTTATACATTAAACACTGACACTCTAAAACAGGTTATCGTATGCCAAATTCAAAATCTTTTTATCACCTGACAAATGAAGAATTCCAGATACTGCCCACTGGCATGACTTGCCAACCAACAGTTCCTTTTTTCAGTCTTCTCCTTTTTGTATAGCAGAGTTACATAGTTTTTGTTCGTTTGTTTGGTTTTTACTTTTATACTTTTTCAATAAAATGAGTAGGAAGCAAAAATGAAAATGTAAAACTAAGTAGATTTGAGATCAAGGTGGAAATCATCAGATATGCCAAATGCAACAAATCTTTAGCTTCAGTCAGACCACTTGGTAGACTGAAGTTAACAACTCGTCCAAGTTTCAAAAGGGAAGAGTTGAATTGTAAAACACCTAAAAGTGCTGGCATACAATAATTATGTATTGTATGCTTTTAGCTCTCTGGGGAATGGGTGCTCCGCCGCCTCATGGAACATTTCATGTATCTAACCTTTCTCAATTTTGTCTCATATATATTCCTACCAAAAAAAGTGACTACCTATGTATTTCAGTAGTCCATGTAAGAAACAGAAGCCTAACCTAAACCAAGGAAATGACGCTAGGGAATGAGAAGAGAGAATGGTTGTCAGAGGAAACCTAGTGTTCTTAGACCTCATGGCTGAGATCTAGCCTACTGTAACATCGAGATAGTTTAGCCTAGGCAGCTAGATACTTGGTGGGATCATTCACCAAAGCACTAGAAGACAGAAAAGGTCTCAAGAGGAAAGAAAATGAGTTCAGTTTTGGATTTGAAATGTTTGTGACACCTGGAATATCTGTGTAAAATTATCAGACTTTTGTGTCCTCCACTGACATCTAGGATTATTTCAATACTTCACCTTTACAGATTTATATGTGCTGCTTTTGCTTTTACAAAGGAAATTAAAAATGGGAGGTATCGGTGTTGCCATCATTACTCTTAACTTATTGGGTTTGATTTAATGTAGGCATCATCATGAAAATTTTGTGGGCTATCAAGATGACAACCTATTCCAGGATGAAATGAGATACCTGCGTTCAACATCTGTACCTGCCCCATACATATCAGTAACTCCTGATGCAAGTCCTAATGTGTTTGAGGAGCCAGAGAGCAATATGAAGTCTATGCCACCAAGGTATTTGAGTTCTCTCCTCTGTGCTGAAGAGCCAGTATTCGGTGGAAGCAAGACTTTGAGCTATAAAAAAATGCTATAAAAATTCTTTTGTTTATCCTTCCATGTCAGAAAGCACGTTGAGTTAGCTCTGCTAACCATTAGAGTAGTAAGAAAAAGCATACATACATGAATAAGGTAAGGTCCGTGATGGCAGAGGCAGACACGTTGGAGAAAAAAGATCAACTCATAAAGTGATGATAAAACATTCCATTATATGATATTATGTCATTTAGTTAGTCCTATAGTAAATCAGACTAGAGACTTTGAGGCTTTGCTTAGAGATGGTTTCATGGAAGAAACAGCACGGAAAATAAATCGTGATCTTTTTTAGATTATTGCTTACAATTCTCCTCCCCCCCGCACTTAGGTATGCTAATATCAGCGTAAGCAGCACCTTGAAAACTGAATAGACGCATCATTAAAGTAGAAAAACCAACAAATATAATAGAAAATTATCTAAAACTATAATATAAGAAGAAATAACAGGTGACTGTAAAAAATAAGTTAAACTCCAAGAAAAAAAATCAGAATTTTTCAAGTATCTGAGCATAGACAAACATGTCATCTTTCAAAAGGAAAATGTTAGACTGAATTCAGACTTCTGTATAACAACTTTAAGTGAAAAAAAATTTTTGAAACAATATTTCTGAAGTTCTAAAAGAAAGAAAATATTACCTTAGAAGATTTACCCAATCAGGAAGACATACTGAAGTATAAAGGATCATTAGAACATAAATCAAATGATTAATGAAAAGCATATTAAAAGACTATACACATAAGTGTAATTTTCACAAAATTGTAAATAAAAGAAACTGTGACCCAGTGGTTTATATTCAGCCAGGTTGAGACATTCTCAAGCATACAGTAACTTAGGGAATATAGCACCTTTGAACTATCCTTTAAAAAAGTCTTGACCAACTTAGGCTATTCTAAAAGGTGATGGATAATGAATATATTAAATCTGGTTCCCAATGGGGAGGTGATCTCACTTCCCAGGTGACATCTTGCAATGTTTGAAAACATTTTTGTATTTCACAACGGGTCCAGTTCAACAGGCGTTCTAGTGGATAGATGCCAAGGATGTTGCTAAATGTCCTACAGCATACTAGACAGACCCACAACAAATAATTACCTGGCTCAAAATAATAGAGGTTGAGTTAATGATGGTCATCTTTACTCCATTTGGGTTTTCTTGTGTTGCTTGAGTTTTTTCTCAAGCATGGTCATTTTTATAAGTACAAGTCATTATTTCTTAGGTTGTATAAGTTGATAAGGCTGTATAAGTTATTTTTAGATTGATAGATAAACTTCCTCTGAAAGCAGAACAGATGTCTTGTGCTTTATAGTAATACTATATAAAAAGCGAAGTAATGAACATATTCCTATACTCTGGTCATTCGGGAATCAAAACAGCCCAAACTGACATCCAGGCACACTTACCCCAGTCAATTATGTACAACATTTATAGTCTAGTCAAACAAGAATGTGCATATGCTTAGGTGGTGAGTAAAGAAAATGTCCAGAGAGTTAGCCATTTACTAGAGAATATACAAGTATAATCTTTACTGAGGGCCATAGGATTCAAACCTGCCTTGAATGATAGAAAAGAAACAACTCCAGAAATCCAAGTGAGCAAAAATGTCCCAATTTGGGATGAGGCAACAGCAGAAAGAATACATGAAAAAAATAGTTTGTAAATGTGTCTTAGAGAAAAAGTAAGAGAAGGTATTTTTTTTTTTTTCACGTCAGACAGGTAATGTGCCGATGTTGTAACAAGGTTTGCGGGAGGCACATCTCACACACAAGCGTGAACACCCAATCATCACACTTATGAACTCCGAAAGGAGTATTTCTCTTTAAAAAAAAAAAACCTTTTCAATAAAGAAAATTATATAACCATCCTAACAACTTTCCAGGTGTTTTTAGTGTTGCTATAGTAAATAGGAAAATTGTTAGTTTACTTAAACCTGAATGACAATCACTGAATTCTTATGTAGTAAATATAATTTTATGTCGAAAGTCAGTTTGTTACCTCTCAATACACTTTGGTGTGGCCTCTCTCTAGAAAAGTTTTTGCAGCACTTCCCAAGAGTAAGAAACCTAATAGAACACTCAAGTCCCAAAGAAAATTGAATCATGTCACTTTCCATGTTATTAGGATTCTGTATGTATATATCCATTTTCTTTCTATTCAGTGCTTTCATGAATATATCTGCCTATTTTTCTTGAATATCATGACACATGACTTTCACCACAGTGCTTTTGATTCTGAAAGGAGCTTAGAACATTTGATATCTTTTTTTAAATTTAAAATGCAAAGTAGGTTTGAGAAAACCAAAAGTTTTAAGATACAGATCTAAATATCTATTAAAATGTTACTCTATTGAAAAATCAAATTATGGCTTAAAGAGAGAATGTCAGGTTGCTTTTGAATTTGTTTTTTCCACATGAAATACAGGTTCACATATTTGTCTACAGTATTATAAACTAAATATAGTTTCACTCCATTTACTTTTTTCTATCTGTCATCTTGTTTTATCTGCAGTTTGGAAACTAGTCCCATAACTGATACTGATCTTGCAAAGAGAACTGTCTTCCAAAGGTCATACTCAGTTGTTGCTTCTGAGTATGATAAACAGCATTCTATTTTACCTGCACGAGTTAAAGCCATTCCTAGACGAAGAGTTAATAGTGGAGACACTGGTAAGTATAAGGATAAAAAGGAAGATTTCGTGATCCAAATGGTTTTATTTGCAGATACTTTTTAAAATCTAATTTTTGAAGGGAAAGGAATAGATTCCTTTTAAATTGTGTATACCTTCCTTCCTTCTATGTGACATGGCTCTAAGTGTGCCTCTCTAAATTTTGCCTGTCAGTTGTAAGAGACACTCAGTGATTATTCAAGAGTAGATTAACATTTAAAATCTTATTGGTTAGGTAGCTAAGCCAAATGTTGCTACTATTATCCCTTCTACTAAGCTTCAGTGAACCAGCATTTCCAATGATTTATACTTTTCACAATTCTTCACTCCCAATAGAAGCTTGTAACTCTTACAGCTAGTACCACTCTGAATAAATAATAAAATTTGGGGATTTAAGTAGCTCTTAATCAGTAAAAAAAGTTAGATAATGTGGACCAATTGGTATCAGCAGCCCCAAATTGGGGCTGGTTGATTCTGTCTCAATAAAGAAGCTCAAGAGAAAAGGATAATAGTGATGATTTATCAGGTAGATCACTTACTAGAATAAAGATCTGGCCTAATACTTACAGGTGGGTGATTTTGTATTGAAAATCTTTAAGGAAAATATATATTTAAATATATAAACCAATGATTTATAGGTTCATTTAACAAACATTTTGAGCTCTTATTGAGACACCTTGTTGTAAAGCCGTCCTTTAGAAAATGATGGGATGAGGTACATATTCCATTTCAGGAGAAAATAAATCACTTAGTACGTAGTGTTTTAGAAAGTGTGAGCTTTAGAGTCAGCCCTGGATTCAAAACCCACCTCTGCAACTCAATAGCTGTATGACTTTTAGGAAAGTAAGATATTCTGACCTTTCTGAGCCTCAGTAAGAGTTGAAGTCATTATGATTTTGTGTCATGTGCAAGAAAAGAAAAACTGAAATGCTCTAAAGTGAATAAACTAAATACTATTATTTTTAAATGACATCTTAAATACATTAATCATATATATTGCCTGTGAAAATTAATACTTTTTTTTTTTTTTTAATTAGAAGTTGGTTCTTCCCTCTTGAGACATCCATCTCCTGAGCTTTCCCGGCTAATCTCAGCCCACAGCTCTCTTTCCAAAGGAGAACGAAATTTCCAGTGGCCAGTTTTAGCTTTTGTTATACAGCATCATGATCTAGAAGGTCTTGAAATAGCAATGAAACAGGCCTTAAGGAAATCTGCTTGTCGAGTTTTTGCTATGGAGGTATGAATATATTAATGGGGTTATTGATTCATGGATCATGCAATTCATGCGATGGCTCTGTTTAGTGATGACTTTTCTACCAAACAGAAATTGAGACAAATTAATTGACATTAGCCAACTGAAAATATCAAGTGTTTACATCAAAATTAAACTCTTATGTTATGAATATAAATGAGTTTAGAGTTCCATATTTAAGCATTCTAAAGGAATTTATTTCTACATCGCTTTATTTGAATCCTGAAATTATCTTTTTTAAACACCTTTTTGTAATCACAACTTCATTTCACTTAGAATAATCACGCAAAGGGGATGAGAAGTCAGGCTTTTGAGTTATATTTTATAACAATAACTTATCTGAGTCTCTGTTCTCTGAAAGTGGTAGGTTTGCTGTATGCCATAGACTTGTATATTGTAAATCTTCTTTCTTTATCATGGCAAGATAAGTAACCTGCCATTTCACTGATGGGAACAATACAATTATATTTAAGTAAATGGTATCTTGTGTAGAGCTTGAGAAATAGTCTATGTTGATCCTAAATACAAGTTGAAAAAAAATGTGCTTGAGTAAATTAATATTAAGACAAATCTTTAAAATAAAATAGGGTTGAAAAGTATTTTAGTATTGCATTTCATAAGTATTATTTTTCCTATTATTTTGGTTTTTTTTTTAACTTAGGACCAAATTAGTGACTATTTCAAGTTCAGTGTGCTTTCAGTGAAATGAAGGTCAGATTTCCTAGTATCTTTCCTTTGAAACACATAGGAACTTTGTTTCTGAATAAGAAAAACCCTGCATTTTTTGCTCTGTTTTGTTTTTATCTTGGACTCATTTAACCATTATTTATTCAGGCTTTCAACTGGCTTCTATGTAATGTCATCCAAACAACTTCGCTCCATGATATTCTATGGCATTTTGTGGCATCATTGACTCCTGCTCCAGTGGAACCAGAGGAAGAAGAGGATGAAGAAAATAAAACAAATAAAGAAAGTTCCGAACAAGTAAGTGAGATTTTAATTTTTTTAATTGTCCATGTTTTTATAGAAGAGTAGAACCACCTTCAGATAGGACAATAATTTGCATGAGGTCATGCACAGATTGTATAATCTAAAAGCAAGAATAAAATTTCAGTGCTATGAGCAACATGTTAACTATTTTTAGTGAAAGTTTTCTCTTTATCAGAAATGCTCAGTCAATTCTGATTTCTCACATCATTGTCATGCAGCAATCAACTGGAAGATATAAACTATTACAGTGCAATGTAAGACAGATAAACAGGGCAACATTATTACATAGAAGATCAGCCTACTTTACAGCACTGCTGTAAAATAGCAGAGAATAAAAACGATACTGTATAGGATCATGCAATTCAATATTTGTTTAGCAGGAAGGGATTTGGATTTTATTGGAGGCAGCCTGCATAATGGAAAAGCATTGAACCAGAACACTCGAAGCCTGGGTTCAGCCCCGTTTTTACCTCTATAGCTATCTGACTTGTGGGCCTCGTTGCATATCTGGAATAAAATTAGAGGACTAAACCTCCATTTAAAAGACAAAAACTGTCAGGATAGATGCAAAAAAAACCCAAAACAATCTAGATGCTATTTATAAGCATCACATCTAAAACATAAGGATATAGGAAGATTAAAAGTAGAAGCTAAGTGGCTCGTTGGTTAAGAGTTGGTTTGGGAGAGCGAGCTTTGAGCAGCAAGGCCGCCAATTCGGATCCCCCATGGGCCAGTGACACTGTGCCCTCTACAGCTAAGATGGTGAACAACAGCTCGACCTGGAGCTGGGTTGCCGTGAGGCGCCGGCAATGGTGTAGGCTGCAGTGGGGTTGCAGTGGGCTGCCGTAAGCTACCGTGAGTAGCTGGCAGCCAGCATGAGCTGCCATGAGCTGCCGTCCAATGGCTGGCAACCCATCTGCCTCAGCTGGGAAGAACGCAATGATACCAACATGGGCCAGTGAAGCAACATCCTCCACAACTAGACTGAAGAACAAAAGGACAGCAACTTGTCTGTTCTCCTTCCCTGATTCTCCAACGCTGTACCCTCCCCTAGATCCCCAATGAAATCTTTTAAAAAAAAGAAAAGAAAAAGATATACTGGATAAATACCAACCAAAGTAAAGTTGGTATAGCTATTTTAACATCAGAGAAAATAGACTTCAAGAAAAATTATTAGTAGGCATAAAGAGGCTTTCTACAGAATAAACGATTAATTCTGAATGTGTATGTATCTAAAACTGTAGCCTCAAAAAATAGGTAAAAATTGACAGAACTGCAAGGAAAAATAGAGGAAAAAAATCCATAGTTACAGTGTGCGATTGTCACACACCTACAACTGCTATCTATCCCTGCATAATTAATTGGATTAGAACAACTGCTATTGGCTCACATCTTTGGCTCAGCAATTTGGGTGAGGCTTAAATGGGAGGAATGGCTCATTTCTACATACACATATAGATTCACCCCACTAATAGATTTGTGAGTACACTGGAATAGCTACTTATATGTGGTATTCATTTGTTTGGCGATTTTACTTATGAATAACCTTATCACTTTTCCCTAAAAATAAGAGACATAATTACTTAATCTTAATGAATATTATGAGTATGGCTTGGTTTTGTTGTTTATATTTCTGTTAACAGGAGTGTCTTGAAAGTATACATAATACTTTTAAATATCCATAGGATTCTTTTGTGGGGGAAATTCCTTTCCGCACACAAACTGATGAGCTCGCTTTCAATTTCTGTTGTAGGAGAAAGACACAAGAGTATGTGAACATCCACTCTCAGATATAGTGATTGCAGGGGAAGCTGCTCATCCTCTACCTCATACATTTCATCGCTTACTTCAAACGATCTCCGACCTTATGATGTCTCTCCCCAGTGGCAGCTCATTGCAGCAAATGGCCCTAAGGTAACTTTATATCTAAGTATTCTAGGTACATTGGAGAAGAGATCTGATGGAGTATTCAAAGCTCAAAATGTTTGGAAGGCCTCTTTAAATAGGAGGATACAAAGAATCCCTATATTATGTGAATAGTGCCTCCCTTGTTACTGTCATAATTTAGGATTGTCCCTCTTAGCTCACGCCTGTTTGTCCCTCTGTAAAATGTGGATAATGTACTTCACAGTGCTCTGAGTTACCACAGCTTGTAATAATCTCCCTCACTTTCCCTCTCTCCTGACCCACATTGCTTGTCTGAGTGCTGCCTGAGTATAGCATCTTAAATGTCACAAAAAGGGAGAGAGAGAATGAAATCTCAAAAACAGAAATCAAATAGGATTTTGAATTGAAAAGAATCTTAAGAATAATGAATGGTACCTAGTTATATGCCACCAATCCTAAAACTGTCTTGAGGCACACCACCTTTTTTTAAGTTGGAACCTGCTGAGATTTTAATGTTACTTTTACATTGTGAACCTTGTTATTAGACCTATATAGTAGAGACTACACATATAAATAAATCCTCCATTGATTTTGGTAAGAAATAGGTTGATTGAGTGATTTTGGCTGCCCATGTCCCTAATGATAAGACGAGCAGATGGGAGATTTTGTTTCCTCCTCAAAAGATTTTTGAAATACAAAATACGTTATAATCCAATGAATTAGTATGGAGTCGTAAGACTAATACATTTGAAAAGCTATTATAGTTGGGGTAACATTTGTCTACAAAACTGATTTGTTACCTTTTTCACTTCTGTAGCCTTGATCTTCATGTATCCTATTTTTCTATATTTAAAATGAGTGAACTTTTTCTCAGAACTAATCTTGTTCCAAAGAAATTACCTTCATTTTTCCCAAAAAACAGATTTTGTTCCGTGAACTTTTTAAATTTCTATTTTTTACCTTGGTCTTTTAAGATTTTTTTAAACATTTGCTATTGAGTACTTTTTTACAGGAATTCATTAGAAATTCCTAAAAAAGAATTATTTAACATATTGCTTATGCCTTTTTAGATGCTGGAGTCTGAAATTCAAGCAATCTGATCACCAGTTCCTCCATCAGAGCAACGTCTTTCATCATATTAACAATATTTTGTCAAAATCAGATGATGGAGATAGTGAAGAGAGTTTTAGTATCAGTATACAGTCTGGCTTTGAAGCTATGAGTCAGGTTAGTCATTTAACAGTCATTCTGTATTATTCTATTAATATTCAACAGTTTATTGAAGGAGAAACTGAAAGTTACTTATAAACAATTTCATTCTTTTATTGCTTATCTCATGTCTGTTTTATGATCGTGGGAGATTTCCAGTTGAGTATTACAATTACTTTTATTTGTTTCTGGTAGGAATTATGCATAGTAATGTGCTTAAAGGACTTAACTAGCATTGTTGACATAAAAACTTCAAGCCGACCTGCCATGATTGGCAGTTTGACAGATGGTTCCACAGAAACTTTTTGGGAATCGGGAGATGAAGATAAAAACAAAACAAAGAATATCACCATCAACTGTGTAAAAGGAATCAATGCCCGCTATGTATCTGTTCATGTGGACAATTCCCGAGATCTTGGGGTAAGCAATGAAACTTAATTTGTGTCGCATTAGTTCTTTCCAGACCATTAGTAATCATTCACTCTCACTGCTTAGTTTAGCAAAATGATTTTCAGTAGAACTTCAATCAAAGAATATTTTTTATTTCCCAAATAAGTCTTAAGTTTGAAGACAGGTTTATATGACTAAGGGACTGTGGAATAACAATTCTAAAAAGAGGTATGATTACAAATATACTGTGGCTAACGCTAAGCAAACAAAATATTGTAAATGTCTACTCTTATAATTTTCTACCTCCATGCCCTTGTTCAAGCTATCATCTGGGCCTGGAAGTCATCCCCTTAAACTGTCTTGTCATATTCTCCCCGTATCTCTAAGACCCAGCAGAGAAATCCTCTCCCAATATCTCTTCTATGAAAAGCACTGTTTCTCTTCTCTGGGTTCTTCTTTCTGTTACTCTGATGGCACTTAATACACTTTGACCTATACTGTAGCCCTCACCACCAGCTATCATGGAGGGAGTGGAAGGAGTTCCTGGACTAACTGAAGTAATCATAATTTATGTTCTCCGTATCCCTAGCCTGTCCACAGGTTTCCAATGAATTCAGCACTCTCTTAAATGGGACTCAATAAATGAAAAAGAGTCCTATTTACTTGAGTGTTAAGAACCAAGAAGAAAGCACCACTGCTAAATCCCGATGTTTCCACCCCCACTCCTACTGAAGGATACTGCTTGAAATTTTTTCCTCAGAATGGATGTGGCTTCCTAGCAGATACAGTATTAATAAATCTCCTTGGACAGTTGCCAAGCTGCTCCCATCCCAATCGCACATTTCCTTTTCCATGATGAGGCAGAGTGGTGGGGTTGGATCTCAGACAACCTGGATGGAACGCCAACCACAGAAGCGCCAGTCTTTAGTCAGAGTACTCCTTGCCACCCATACCCCCAACTCCTGTCCATGAGTGCAGATTCAGTTTTTCCCTGATGGTGAATAAGAGAAGGGAGCTTAGCTAATATATCATGAACTTAACCTTTTCTTCAGACCCATTAGTTTCCATTGGTACACTTTATCTTATCAGAAAGCCAAGTGTAATAAATCAAAACATTTTTCTGGCTAGAACTCGGCTCAATACAAAGTTATCTTTGATTTATGTACATTTTAAGCCAAGACATAATCTTCCTCAAAACAATTATTTTAATCAGTTTGAAATGTTTGCCTTTTAGAGGAGATCATCCTAACAATATTCATTTTTAGAAGTTTCAGTATGTAAGCTGTCATCTGCCTTTGTACCTCTGTGTCCCCCAGTCTGCCAGATAGTCAGCATCTGGTGATTTGAATTGCATCAGCCTATAGCACCTAAAGTGTGTGGCTCTCCAAGGAATTAGTGTTCAGCTATTTCTAGATATACTGTGCATAAAACTTCTTCAACCTTAAGGTCTGTAGCTGTAGTACCAGCATGACTCTTTTCAGTACTTAAAAGTATTGAACTTCTGTTGTTTGATATTTATTTTGTGTGTTAATATTCCTTCCCTCGTTTGGCAAGGATCTCAAGGGAATAGAACCCATCATTCTCATCCTTCTCCGAGTCCATAAGGCAGTCTTAGTACATTGTGACATTCACAAGTATTTGTTGTTTAAGCTAATTTCCTTCCTTCCTTTTACTTCCAGAGCAATGAGAATATAGTGATGAAAGTGGGGCATGATTGACAGGCAGAGTTGTTGAAAGACTTCATGACAGAGAGAATTTAAATGTTTAGACTTTGGATAAAAAAGAGGGAATGCCAACCTATTCCCTCAGAGCTTGTGGAGAAAGGCTGAAATGTGAGATTTACAGTGGAGTTTGTGAGAGTGAGAAAAGTCTAGAGTTGTAGGCATTGTGGTTGGTTGGACAGATGGAGTGAGGTCAGTTAAGAAGGACCATTAAAGACAGTCAGAAAAGTTAATGTAATATTGGTAGGAATCGTTTTAAGTTCTGAAACAGGAATATGGCATAATAACTATTTTGAATTGTCTGTTTTAGAATAAAGTCACCTCAATGACCTTCTTAACTGGCAGAGCAGTAGAAGATTTATGCAGGATAAAACAGGTAATTAAAATTTTGTCATTAAATGTTTTGTGGTCCGGCCGAGTGGTGCATTGGTTAGGAGCTGGCTTGGGATGCCAACTTGAGCAGCAGGGCCCCTGTTTGGATCCCACATGAGGGTCAGTGACGCTGCTCCCTCTGCAGCTGAGATGGTGAGCAGCAGCTCGACCTGGAGCTGGGCTGCTATGAGTCATTGGCGACAGCATAGGCTGCAGTGGGGCTGGCCAGCAGCAGGCGTAAGCTTTCATGGGCCACCGTGAGTGGCCGTCCAGTGGCCGGTGAGCTACTGCCTCACCTGGGAAGAGCGCAATGATAATACCAACATGAACCAGTGAAATGATGTCCTCCACAGCTAGACTAAGGAACAAAAGGACAGCAACTTGTCTGTTCCCCTTCCCCGATTCCCCAACACTGTTCCCTCCCCTAATTCCCCAATAAAATCTTAAAAAAAAAAAAAATGTTTTGCTACCCAGGAAGAAATTTCTTCTTCTCAGTCTCCACTGTCGAGTTCTAATTTGGGCATGCTACCAAAGTACTATAGGATATCACCTATTTAAAAAATACTAAATTGACAAGTGGTCTATGTATAGGAGCCATTGCAGCCATCCCTGCACTGAACGTCTTACCCATCATTGCCATACATGCTCTCTAGTCATGAGCGATGATACTGTGCCTACAGCCAAAGCTATTCTGTAGTTACTGCGTCCTGTGAATATCAGTCAACCACTAGGTTTTTTTTGTTGTTGTTGCTGTTTTCAAATCATATTGAAAGAATGAATTCAGTTTTTGGATTAAACAAATAATAAATTTTATTTAAATTGTTAAAGAATTTGGGGACATAATCTTATTCAGTGAGATACTATTTGTTTATGTTTAATGGTCTTTTTAGAAAATTGACATTATCAATTAAGATAATATCAATTTAGATGTCTACATAAATAACATAAACATTTCGGATCATTTTTTGGACATCAAATGCCGTAAGAACAATTTTCATTTTATCAAGTGAGTAGTGTCAAAAACCATTTCACAGTGCATTGAAATTTAATCTTTGAAAAAAGTTATATTCTCAATGAAACATAGTTAAATAAGGAATCACAAATGGGAAGTTACATATTATATAATTTTTCTTAAAAGGTAAGACGTTAAGTAACTGCACATCAAAAATGCTTTAAGGTGAAGCTGCACAAAACAGAACCTCACTGCTAATCTTGTGAGCAGTTTCTACTTTACAGTCATGTAAGTCGTTCGTAATGGCTTCACCCCTGTAACTTGTGCCTGAAGCCATATGGTAGTCGGACCTGCATCCTTCAACCTGTATTAACCTCACTGTCTTCATCTGCACGATAGCTACTATAGTATTCCTTATCCTCATAAAGTTTAAATGAGGTAATCAGTGTGAAATTACCTAGTAAATTTTACTCTCTACAATTGTTATGTAAGCTTGCTGTCATTCATGCTAAGTCTAGGACAGTGATACGGCTGTATCATGTTTCTTTCTGTCCCTTTTCTGCTCTGCTAGGTTGATCTGGACTCCAGGCACATTGGTTGGGTGACAAGTGAACTTCCAGGAGGGGATAATCACATCATCAAGATTGAATTAAAGGGCCCAGAAAATACATTGCGAGTTCGACAAGTAAAGGTCTTGGGCTGGAAAGATGGTGAAAGCACAAAAATTGCTGGCCAGATTTCAGCCAGCGTGGCCCAGCAGAGGAACTGTGAAGCTGAGACTCTGCGAGTGTTCAGACTTATCACATCTCAAGTGAGTGTCCTTACCACATATCCCAGCAAAGGCTATATTATTTCAATATTAATACCAAGAGGGTAACAAGTATTTTGTAGATCTTATTAGAGATTGCTGGCTACAGACATGGCCCGTTTTTTCTTCTGGTAGCCCCCAACTTCAGTGTTTCACTTTGCATTCATAATCCTGACAAGTAGTGTATAGTAGGAGTAACAAAATAATGTTATAAAGCCTGCAGAATCAGCCGATGAGTCCTGTAGCTTGCACAGTGGTAATTCCCACCATTAATTCCTTGTCACACCCCTATCTTCATCAGGTATTTGGAAAGCTCATCTCTGGAGATGCTGAACCTACACCTGAACAAGAGGAAAAAGCACTATTGTCATCACCGGAAGGAGAGGAAAAAGTATACAATGTATTTATTTGTATTCCAAAAATATTTATTTCCCCTTTTTTCATTTTCTTTTGTTCAGTGAACTAATCCATGTATTGCTATGTATTTTAATGGATATGTGGCATTAGTTTATCTGCAGTCAATATTTTTTTACTTTAATTAGAAAGAAAATAAAGGAACTATCAAAAGAAATTCATTATCCATGTGTGATCTAGCTAGTATTTTAAGTACCAACAAATTTGCTCTGTACCTAGGGCTATTGTAGTCAAATGTTAGCATTTGTAAAATTAGCTCAGTTATTTATTGTGCTGTGCACCATCAGTTATCTTCTCGGTCCTCCGTTTTATCTGTCTGTCACAGTCCAGCTTAAAACTGCTGTCTTCTTCATGAACGTTTGTATGCTTTTCACAAACAAAAGCTGTTTCCCTCTGCTAAACTTCATAGTAATCTCTATGTATCTCTTCTTGGTTTCTCTCTTGTATTTATTTGTATACATGTTTTATCTCTTCTTCTACTGAACCATAGCTCCCTAAAGACCGAGTACATGTCCGGTTTGTCTTTATATCACCATGGCATAAATACACATGTGTTCTGTAAAATTTTATTGGAATAACCTGTTCTTTATACTGTTCTTGAAAGTTCTTCTAAAATACAGTTGCTTGGTCGTATTTGGTCTAAACTAAAGCACTATACCTAAGAGGAAAACCTCCTTCATTTCCAAAATGAGAAATCAGCTCTGACTAGTCTCAATATTGTTGTGTCTTTAGATGTTGAAAATAATCGCCTTGGCAGTCTTTTGAAAGATAATTTCACAGATTTACCTAGTCTAGCCCTGTGCCTTCTGATATAATAGTATCAAAACCATCCACATTTTTCTATTTAGGATCTGTAAAAAAATAAGATTTCATAAACTCTGGTAATTTCTTTCAGTGTCTTTTGCAGATATCATTTGAATGACTATAAGACTATGTAACTACTTATTAAATCTACTGAATTTTAGCAAACAGCAATTCTGTGCTAAACAACCATGAGGATTGGTACCAAGGCCTCGAAAAGCTTGCATTCTGTTCTTAGACGTGAACCCTCTGTGCCCCCTCCACCCCCCGCCATAATAAATTAAGGATACTGTATAGTCGATAATCAACTTAAATATGTAAAAAAAAATTCCACATGTGATAAGATTTCAGAGGACGTTGAGTTATTGTGCCCTGGAGTGGTCAGGAAAGGCTTCTAGGGGATATTGGACATATGTTAGACCTGAAAGAGAATGCATGAAAGTTAGCTTAATAGAGAGGATGGCAGCCAGAGCTCATTGGAGAGGCTGGAGAGTGTATGTTGACGCTCTGTGGTTGAATAGGAAACATTATGCCAGCAGTTGGATGCCCATGAAATAACATAATGTTAAGAGACTCATTTTTTAAGTCAGTTTTTTGACGTAAAGTTTACATACTAAAAAAATCATCGTTTTAATAAGCTTGATTATTCAATGAATTTTGACCAACGTATACAGTAGTGAAATCATCACCACAAACGAGTTTTAAAACATATCACCTCATGCTCCTTTGCAGCCCGCCCCCTTATCTCATGCCCAGACCCTGTAAACCACTGAACTGTCTTCTTGCCTGTAATGTTGCCTTCTCCCAGATGTCATGTAAATGGAACCACGTAGAATGTAGCCTTTTTATCTGGTTTCTTTCACTTATTTTAATGCTTTTGAGATTCACCCATGAAGCGGCATGTATCAGTAATTTGTTCTTTTGGTTGCTGAGAAATATTCCATTCTGTGGATTTACCATAATTTGTTTATCCTTTCATTTTCTCTAGATATTTAGGTTGTTTCCTCTATTTGGCTATTATTAATAAAGCTGCTGTGAACATTTGCATACAGATCTTTATGTACATGTTTTCATTTTTCCTGGGTAAATACCTATGAGTAGGATTGCTGGGTTGTATGGCAAGTGTAAGAAGCTTCCATACTCTGCAAACTGAACCATTTCACATTTTCACAGTAGTGTCTGAGTATTCCGATTGCTCCACATCCTTGACAGCATTTGGTATTGTGACTCTTTAATTTTAGCCATTCTAGTAGGTGTGTAGTAGTACCTCATTGTGGTTTTGATAGGGATTTTTCAGCTGATTAATAATGTTGAGCAAATTTTCATGTGTTTATTTGTCATCTCTGTACTTTATTTAGTGAAGTATCTATTCAAATATTTTACCCATATTTTTATATTGGGTTATTAATGTTAGGTTATAAGATTTCTCTATATAGTTAGGACCTATATACATATATTACCAAATATGTATGTTCAGGTATTTTCTCCTAGTCTGTGGCTTATCTTTCAGAGAGCAAAATTTCTTAATTTTGATGAAGAAAATTTACCTATTTTTTTCTAAGCAACCCATGATTTTTGTGTCTTATCTAAAACTTAAGGTCACAAAGATTTTCTCATGTTTTCTTCTAGAAACAGAGTTTTGATTATTTTGTTTAGAGCTATATACATTTTAAATTAATTTTTCTATACAGTATACGGTAAGGGTTGAAGCTCATTTTTTTTTCATGTACATGTCCAATTGTTGACCACCATTTGTTGAAAAGACTGTTCTTTATCAATAACCAATTCACCCTAAATGTGTATGTATCTGTGTGTGTGTGTGTGTATGTATGTATATATATATATATATCCTTATACCAACATCAGACTGTCTTGATTACTGCAGCTGTATAGAAAATCATGAAATCAGATTCCAACCTGCTTCTTTTTCATAGTTGTTTTGACTATTCTAGGTTCTTTACATTTCCGTATAAAGCTTAGAATTAGTTTGTCAATTCTCCCCTACTCCCCCCCCAGAAAAGAACATGCTGGAATATTGATTGGAATTGCACAAAACTGATAAGCCAATTTAGGGAGAATTGATATCTTAATCATATTGAGCCATTTTATAAACGTGATACAATCTCCATTTATTTAGATCTTTAATTTCTGTCAGCAGTGTTTTATAGTTCAGTGTAGAGGTCTTGTATGCATCTTATTAAATTGATCCCTAAACATTTCATGTTTTTAATACTATTGTAAATGGTATTTTTTAGTTGTTCATTTCTAGTACATAAAATACAATTGACTTTTCTGTTTTATATCCTGTGATCTTCTTAAATTCACTTATTCTTGAAGCTTTTTCATAGAACCTTTGGGATTTTCTACATAGGTAATCATGTGGCCTGCAAAGAAAGTTGGTTTTACTTCTTTCTTTCTAGTGTATATGCCTTATATTTCTATTCTTATGTTGTTGCAGTGGCTAAGACCTTCAGTACCATGTTGAAAAGAAGTGTTGTGATCAGACATCTTGGCTTTTCCTTTTTTTTTTTTTTTTAAAGATTTTATTGGGGAATTCGGGGGAGGGTAATAGCGTTGGGGAATCGGGGAAGGGGAACAGACAAGTTGCTGTCGTTTTGTTCTTCATTCTAGTTGTGGAGGATGTCGCTTCCCTGGCCCATGTTGGTATTATCATTGTGCTCTTCCCGGGTCAGGCAGTCGGTCGCCGGTCGTTGGTCGGCTGCTCACAGCGGCTCCCGTTAGCTCACACCGGCTACCAGCCGCTCACGCTGGCTGCCAGCCACTCACATAGCTCACGGCAGCCCACTGCAGCCCTGCTGCAGCCTACGCCGTCACCAGCGACTCACAGCAGCCCAGCTCCAGGTCGAGTTGTTGTTCGTCATCTTAGCTGTAGGGGGCGAGCGTCACTGGCCCTTAATGTGGGATCCAAACCACAGCCCTGATGCTCAGAGCTGGTGCTCCCAAGCGAGCTCTTAACCAGCTGAGCCACTCGGCCGGCCCCATCTTGGCCTTTTCTATATTTTAAAAGGATACCACTTAATCTTTCACCATTAAGTGTGATTTGCTACAGGTATTTTTGTAAATGCTCTTAATCAGATTGAGGGAGTTTTCTACTATTTTGCTAAGAATTTTTATCAGAATGGATGTTTTTATATATTTCTTTTTTTGTTTTATTAGTTTTATTCAGTAAAATAATCTATATAATGCTATGTCTGTTAATAGATAGGTGATGTTAGCTATATGCAGTTCATTTTTGTTTAATAAAAATCAAGATAACCTAGGGGATTGACAGCAAAATGGTACAATGTTTCTTTTTGGGATGATGAAAATGCTCTAAAATTGACTGTGGTGATGGTTTCACATCATATGGTATATTTCAATGATGTGCACTTGAAAAAATAATGCACTGTGTTTTTATTCTGTTAGGGCATTCTATAAAAATCAATTAGTACAACTTGGCTGATAGTTTTATACAAGTTTTCAAGATCCTTACTTATTTTTAAACTAAAGAGTTTAACTCAGTTTTCTTGCCTGTAAAATAGGCAGAACATCAGACTTTACCTATGGGGTTGTTGTGAAGATTAATAAGATTCTTTATAGAAACACAGACACAAACAAACACACACACATCTTCGCATATCAATCTATCACTTAAAAGAGTACCATGAACATAATAAGCACTATAAAATTCAACCTTTATTTTTCTTCCTATGATATATTTCTTTGATTACTCTTGGTGTTAGAGTAGCTTAATTTAAGACCACCATTGTTACAGAGTTTTGTTAGGACAGTTTCTTTTATAACCAAATGTCATTTTCCAGAATTGTTTTTCTAACAACTGAATGTAGGATGTGAACTAATATTCAAAATTTAAAAATAGATTCAGTCAAAGTGACCCAGATTGACTAGATTAAAGAAATCCATGAAAAGATGGTATACTCTGAATTTAATAAATTTGGAAATTTTCTTTGTATAGTCACCTTAGCCATAGGTAATTTCTTCTAACTTTATCCTTTGTCTTAGTGTTATAGACCTCAATTTAAAATAAACACACCTTATACCTGTATAATTATCTCTCAAAATACTTTTTTTTTTCAGTTTATTTAAACATACACACACAAAAACAGTTCACCCAGTTTTCCCACCTTCCTTCCCACCTTGGCAACTACATATATATATATATATATATATATATATATATATATATATATATATCACAAATACATATGTACACATGTAATATGTATGAGTATATACTTTTTAAAAAATTCCACATATGAGAGAAATCATTCACTGTTTGTCTTTCTCTCTCTAACTTATTTAACTCATCAGAAGGCCCTCTAGGTCCATCCAAGCTGTTGTAAATTGCAAGATTTCAGTCTTTTTTATGGCTGAATAATATGCCATCATATGTGTGTGTGTGTGTGTGTGTGTGTGTGTGTGTGTGTGTGTGTATGTGTGTATGTGTGTATGTATGTATGTATACCACAATTTCTTTATTCATCCATTGATAGACACTTAGGTTGCTTCCATATCTTGGCTATTATAAATAATGCTGCAGTGAACATAGGGGTACATATAACTTTTTGAATTAGTGTTTTTAATTTCTTCAGATAAAAACCCAGAAGTGGATTGCTGGATCATATGGTAGTTTTATTTTTAATTTTTTGAAGAACCTCCATATTCTTTCATAGTCATTACACCAATTTACATTCCTACCAGCAGTGCACAGAGGTTTCCTTTTCTCCACATCCTCATCAACACTTGTTATTTCTAGTCTGTTTCATAGAAGCCATTCTAACAGGTGTGACATGATATCTCAGTGTGGTTTTGGTTTGCATTTCACTGATGATTAGTGATGTAAAGCATCTTTTCATGTACCTATTGGCCATCTGTATGTCTCTTTGGAAAAATGCCAGATCTTTTACCCAATTTTTAAATCAGATTTTGTTTCTGTTTTTGCTTTTGAGTTATATGAGGTCTTTATATATTTTAGATATTAGCCCCTTATACCAGATATGCGATTTGCATGTATTTTCTTTCATTCAGTAGGTTACCTTTTCATTTTGTCTATGGTTTCCTTTGCTATACAAAGCTGAGTTTGAATTGGTCCCACTTACTTATTTTTGATACTTTAAAATGTCACACATGTAAATTTTATTCAAAGAACTTGCTTCTTTTGTTTTCCTTTTTCTATGTAAAGGCAACATCTGATGCTGATCTGAAAGAACATATGGTTGGAATCATATTCAGCAGGAGTAAACTAACTAACTTACAGAAACAGGTTGGTTAATAGCCATTCTATTGTCTTCATCAGTTTTTGTTTGTTTTTAGGGTGCAAAGTATTTTCCAACATTTATGGAGGCCTTTTTATGCTGATTCTTTTATAGGCCCTGCAGAATGTATCTGCTTTTTTCTAGAGAAGGAGTGTATTGGTATACCTGTATCACTTTAAAGATTAGTATGTGATATATAGTTGATGTATTATAGAATTGTACACTTGAAACCTAGTAATTTTACTTACCAATGTCACCCCAATAAATTTTAATTAAACAAAAAGATGAGTTATGTGTTAACTTTCTTACCTTGCTGCTCTCTTTTATTACTTATTTTCAGGTACCTTTCATTTTAGTGTCAAATGCCCAGCTATATGAGATTTCACTTGTATTTCCTGTATTCCTTTTCCCACCATTTTTTGTTTGTTGGTTTATTTTGCTGAACAATTATAATGTTAACTAAACCAGTATTAATATTTTTAATTATAAGGAGATGGGGAGTAGCTCTACATTGTTCGTGAAATAGAATACCTAAATAACATAAAAATTAGCTTTTCAAAAGTCAAATGAAATATTGGTTTTAAATTAGCCCATTATTTTAACTTTCAACAGCATTAAATCTTTTAAATAAATAACATGAATTTTTTTGTGTGCGTTATCTTTTTTTTTTTAAAGGGAAGATGATTTTTCTTTTAAAGATTTTTTTAAATTGGGGAATTGGGGGAGGGGAACAGCGCTGGGGAATTGGGGGAAGGGGAACAGACAAGTTGCTGTCCTTTTGTTCTTCAGTCTACTTGTGGAGGACATTGCTTCACTGGCCCATGTTGGTATTAACATTGCGCTCTTCCTGGGTGAGGCAGATCGGTCGCCGTCCTCTGGACGGCCGCTCACGGTGGCTCTTGGCAGCTCACGCTGGCTGCCAGCCACACATGGTAGCCCATGGCAACCCACTGCAGCAGGGGCTGCAACCTATGCCGTCGCTGGCGACACATGACAGCCCAGCTCCAGGTCGAGCTGTTGTTCACCATCTTATCTATAGAGGGCAGTTCACTGGCCCTAATGTGGGATCCAAACCAGGGCCCTGCTGCTGAGAGCTGGCTTCCCAAGCCAGCTCTTAGCCAATCTGCCACTCGGCTGGCCCTGCTTTATCTTTTTAACAGCAATTCATTGAATCTCAGATGCTACCAGTTGTAAAATGTGCTCTTGTTTTATACATCACTAAAAAAAAAATGCTGCCAATTAAATTGGGAATGCTGTCAATTATAAAGCACATTTTGAATAGAAATATTATAATGTGGGGAGAAATGTGTCTTAGAAGTGATAAAAATGTGGTAATTTGTTTTTGTTTGGTGTCTTGAACCATAGGCAGGGGTATTGGTAACTTCTGTATAAGTAGTTTCTACATATAGTTGATGTAAATATTCACATTTTAAATCATGGTTCCCCTTATTTTCCTTAATTGTTTTTTAAGATGAGTTGAAAGAATGGTGTGATGGAGAGTTAACTAGGAGGAAGAGTATTGAGTATCAACCAATAGTCTTGTCTTTTTTTTTTTTTTAACTACGAGTAGTAAAATCAGACTTACAAATGTTTTTACATTTTTTTTATGTTGTCCGAAAATAGGTATGTGCTCACATAGTCCAGGCTATTCGCATGGAAGCCACCAGAGTTCGTGAAGAATGGGAACATGCCATATCAAGCAAAGAAAATGCCAATTCTCAGCCCAATGATGAAGATGCCTCCTCTGATGCTTACTGCTTTGAGCTGCTCTCGATGGTTTTAGCACTGAGTGGCTCTAACGTGGGCCGGCAGTATCTGGCTCAGCAGCTGACTCTGCTCCAGGATCTCTTTTCCCTGCTACACACAGCATCTCCTCGGGTCCAGAGACAGGTGATGCACTGGTCTTGCCACTGACCTTTTGGCTTATTTTGTTATTTGAAACATTGTTAAAAGTTAAACTAATTAAGTGAAGGCGTTAAGTACTGATTTTTATTTTGTTATGTTTCGGGTTTTGAATTGTATTTTAACTCCATGCTTTTTTACTTTTCACTCATTGTAATGAGAATATGGAAGAGCAAAATATATTTGAAGTCATAGAATGGCAGCTAGATTCATTTCTAAAACGAAAACTTGAAAACACCAATCTTTAAATGGAATTTTTTCCTTTTATTTTTTTTTTACCAGGTGACCTCCTTATTAAGACGAGTTTTGCCTGAAGTGACCCCTAATCGTCTGGCCAGCATCATAGGAGTGAAATCCCTCCCCCCAGCAGATATTAGTGATATTATTCACTCAACAGAGAAAGGAGATTGGAATAAGCTAGGTATCTTAGACATGTTTCTAGGATGCATTGCCAAAGCACTCACAGTACAGCTCAAAGCCAAAGGAACCACCATCACAGGAACAGCTGGTACCACCGTGGGCAAAGGAGTTACAACAGTTACCCTTCCTATGATTTTCAATTCCAGGTTGGTCATTGCAGCTGTTTTAGTACCAAAATAGAACAGAATGAGCTACTGTTGAGAATTAAGATATGATTTCAAATTTTACCTTGTTTACTTATTCACCAAAAGAAGCCATAAATCACTGACCCATATATAAAAGAGAATGCTATACATAATAAAAGTGTCATTTTGAGTTAGTGGGGAAAGGAATCTGCTGAATATTTGACCTTGGAATACTTCCCATGTAGGGAAAATAAAAAAATGTAGGCCCCTACCTCACACCATATACAAAAATAAACTTGAGATCAGCTTTTAGATATATTTCTCTTAAAACTCAACTAGGACAAATTATAGAAAAATATTTTTTATAATCTTCAATTTGGGAAGACCGTGAACAAAACATAGAACCCAAAAACTCAAAGAGGTGAAGATTCACAGATTTGGCTACATAAAAATGAAAATTAAATGATAGACAATATTTTTTAAACGTTTTAAAATACAAGCAACTGACGGAAAAAATATTTAACACCTATATAGTATGCAATGAATTATTAGGCATAATATTAGAAGGATGACCACAAGTCAATGAGAAAAAGACAAACAACTGATAGAGAAAAATAAATGACAAGAAAAGTTAGCTCAGAGAAGAAAAATTACAAATGCCAGTAAACAAATTAAAAGAGACTTCAGTGGTAATCAAAGAAATGTAGATTAACACAAAAGGAAAATATCTGCATTGGCAGCATTATAAAGAAATTGGCAATTTTTAATGATATTTAATGTAAATTGCCACTGTTGTTTTGGATGTCATTTTGATAGCATATCACTATATTTAAAATATGCATATCTTTGTCTACCAATTCTACTTCTACATCTATTTCCCTCAAAATGTTCATACATGTGCACAAGATATATATAAAGATGTTTGTTACAGAATCGTGTGTAACAGCAGAAAATTAGAGACATCTGGAATAATGCTGGTAAAAGAGCCAATCCATGAAATTAAGCAAGTAATGCCAGAATATAAATCAGTGCATTGCTCCCTTCATCTACATAGACTTGCTAGGGGGAAACCTGTCAGCTGAACTAAACAGAGTGCTCTGGGAGGTAGCGACATACTCTGGTGCAAGCTATTACTCTATGGAGACTGGTACCAAATTGTGGTCTGTGGGTATACTTTGAATAACACCATTCTAGGAGATGCATACAAAAATAATACATAAACAGGAATATTTCAAAGGGAGCACATATCAGAATAGCTACTCTTGAGGTTGAAGAGGTAGATAATGGGTAATGTTTTCATTAATTTTCTTTTAAAATGCTTTGATTGACTCAGTTAAAAAATTAAAATGCTACAATCTGAAATAACAGTTTTCATATGATTCATTTGTAACTATCACTGATTAGTTTGCAAATGCTGACTTTTCTTTGTAGTTATATTCGACGGGGTGAAAGTCATTGGTGGATGAAAGGCTCAACTCCTACCCAGATCTCTGAGATCATCATTAAACTCATTAAAGATATGGCAGCTGTAAGTTCCCATCCTGTTGAGCTTTAATGTCAATGAAGTGCAGCAGAAATCTAATTAACAAAACAAGCAGCTTATTCTCCTGAATTGATTAGAGAAGTACATTATGTTGTTTTGCTTACTGAACAGCTTTGTTACCTTTTCAGTTAGTGATAAATTTGTCCTTTGTGTAAGCTATGTTCATTTCAAGCTTCCCAATTAATTTACTTAAAGTCTTCCAAGATTTTAAAACTTAAAAAATAATAATAAGTATATATTCTTTGAACCCTAAAAACAGCCTGAGTCCAAAAAACTAAAGGAAAAAAAGGGGCACCCAAAGTGGAAGTTTCTCATTCTCTTCAGTTCTCATGGTTTACAAAGCCTTTACTTTTCTTTATTAATGTCCTATACCACTGTCTCTACATGTTATCTTCATGGGGAGATCAGGGAGTGTGGAGGAAAGGAAATTACTTACCAGAGACCCTTGCTCTTACTGGGTGCTCCACAACGTAACTTTCCTCACCTTCCATTATTTCCAGGAGTCCAGCCTGAGGAGGGCCAGATACTGTGGATTACAGGTTCCTGAGAGGTAGAGCAGACAGCAGGCATTTTGGAGGAGGAGAAATTTGAACTGCCTCTTAAAGGATTGATAGCATGTGAATATGAAATGAGGGAAGATATTCTGGGGAAATATATGAAGTCGTATCACTTCCCAACAGCATGGACATTTCCTCAATCAGAGAAATGGAGAATTTTTTTCAATTCTCAAATAGGCTTTCTCAATACAGTCACTGGATGAAAACATTTAGGAAAAATGTTTAGGAACACCTAAACCTAAATTCTACAGTAGTAAGGTATTGGTGTTCAGTAAAAAGCAAGTTAGCAAAGTTAGTTGTGATTTGAACCCATTTATGCTCTTGGGTTCCTGTAATACTACTCTAAAGCATAGCTTAGCTGTATAAATTTCATATTAAATAACAAGGTTTCATAATCAAAATTTCTCAAGCATAGATACCTTACTACTTCTGTTTTTATCTAAATGTAAAAAGAAAGACCTTTGTATTCTATAGAGAAAGGATATTGAGAACCTAAATTTTTATTTACTTTTCTTTTGAATCATCAAAATAGTGATTGATTAGAAGTTGAATTTTTCATAGGGTTGTGAAGGGTTTTTATTTCAAAAGTATACCCCTTGATCTAAAATTCCACTAATCTTTTCTTTTGGGTGAGAGATGTTATTTAAGAGACTAGAATTTACTACTATGATTTACATTTCTGGTTGCTTATTAAATTATTCTGTCGTATTCAATAGGGTCATCTGTCAGAAGCATGGTCCCGAGTGACAAAAAATGCCATTGCAGAAACCATCATTGCCTTGACCAAGATGGAGGAAGAATTTAGATCTCCAGTGAGATGTATTGCAACAACTAGGGTAGGTTTTTTTTCATTTGATTACATTGTTTCATGTTCTTTTTTTAGTAATGGATTTGAACAAATTTGAATCAGTAAGTCAGCTTAATCCACATTTTTGTTTACGAAATATTTATTAAAAAAGCATAAAGGGATTCTTTGAACTATGAACTAAGTATATTGGCTATTAATATTCTCTATTATGTGTTCTTTATCACTTGTTTTTGTTGTTATTTAGGAAGCTAAGTATAAACTGATTAGAAAAGGCTAAACTATCTTATATGTCAGTCTATTATCTTTCTAATGGTGTATTTACTGTAGCCTACATAGTAAATTTACTATGAGCACTATGCTGTGATAAACTGAAGGTCCTTGGAAGACAGGGTCCTCCCTACACCATTTTTGTATGGCCCAGTTGTCCTAAAGTAGAGCCCCATCTGGATTTACAGGCCTTACTTTTAAAAACCAAAAGTTTTGTGCCCAGGGTGGAGTGACGCAGAATCTCTTAGCAAGTGGGACTACATGAAGATAAGACCTCTATAGGAATTTTTAAGCTACCAAATTTCATGTCCCTTGTGCTTCCAGCAGAGATTTGAGATTTTCTTGAAGCAGGGCAGTGTGACAGCATTAGGAAGAAGTAAATGCTGGTGGAAATTGCTTAAATTAATCCTCAGAAGTCTGAAAAAGGAGATAAATTATATTTTCCGAGGGCAGAAAAGGCCAGTGTATATTGTGTTGTTAGTGAGTGTGACATATGAAACAGTTGTTTTCACAGGAACCAACCCTTTCCCCCCAGGCATGTGTTCTTTCCTTTCATTCTGCACTCCCCCTTTTCCTGACATACTTTCTATTTCTGGCCTTTCCCTGTTTTTCCCTCTCTTACTTTTCATTTCCAATGACACTCAACATGCACTTCTTAAAGTTGAGACAATTAAAAATTTTTTTTCAGTAATGAAGAAATATACCATTCTGTGTAAAACTGAAGCTTACCCTTTTAGCCTCAGGAAGTTTTAAAGTATTTTTAGGGCAATATTCTTAAATTGGTTAGACTTTTACTTATTTCTGACAAAGTGCACCAGGCATAGTGCTAAGCCATGAGGGGCATACAGAGACTTGTGAGGAACTCTTATTATCTCGAGGAATTTAATACCTAACTACTTATGGGACTAGGCTAGATTAAATAGCCATTATACTCATTATGCCATCTTCTTTGGCATTTAATGCCTCAGGCAGATGATACCAGGTGGAAAAATTTGCAGGAGGCATTGGTATATTAAATATGTAAATTCCTGTATTGATATGTTGTTTACATAACAGACTAATAAAGGATAATTTTCTATATCAGGTAGGAAATAGAATCATTCATCAGAGCATTCAGTAAACATTTGAGTTGAGTACTGGGTGTATGGCACATACAGCAGTGAGCGTGTGTGCCTGGTGCCATGTCAGGAAAACTTGGGTACCGCAGCATATTTACATATTTTCCAATCCAGCTGTCATTTATTGAGCTATTACCATGTGTCAGACAGTCACCGTTTTCTAAGCCTCTCCTGAAAACTCAGTGGTCTAACAGCTCTTCCTTTCAACAGCTCTGGCTTGCTCTAGCATCACTGTGTGTTCTTGATCAGGACCATGTCGACCGTCTCTCCTCAGGGAGATGGATGGGAAAGGATGGACAACAAAAACAAATGGTAAGATCAGAATTATCTTATAGACAATTTCTTGTTTTTCTCTGTAGTCAGCTTTAGCTTAGCTTTAAAATCACCCTGCAAGTCCAAATACACAATTAGTGGAACTCTTAAAAAGTTGTGTCGCATTGCTCAAGTTCATCTCACAAGGGTCCCCTCTTCATTGTATATTAGGGGCCTTAATTATATAAAAGGGCTTTCCTCTTCTTTGAGCCATGTTTGCATCATATCAAAATTTGTTTTTAGCCAGACTTTGATTATGTATCTAGGTTTTGTACTAAAAATGTAATCGGTCTTATGGTAAGAGGGAAATGAAAGCAGTAAGAGAGACAATATAGTATACCCTTTATTCACAGATATACTTAAAAATAGGCTTGATAGGTATCCCTACATTCACTGGAAGGGAAGACCTTATATATCAATAGATAGGCCCTTTCAACATTTTGTTATTAATGTTCACGTTTAAAAAATGAATAATTTGCTCATTTAGCATATGGGATATTTGAATATAATGAGAAATATTCTTAAGTCACTAAGCAAAATATACATGTTTATTTTATTAATCATTGAATTGGGAGTTTTGAGGCATTTTTACAGTTAAGTATACTTGCCGTAATTCTATAAATGTTTGGATACTAAATTCTTAATAGATGTCAGAATAACATTCTTGTAAATAAATTACATTCAATTTGTATAAATATGGAGGCTTTCTTGTTCATCTAATGTAACCTATGGAAATGTCTTATTTTAGCCTATGTGTGATAACCATGATGATGGTGAAACTGCAGCAATCATTTTGTGCAATGTATGTGGAAATTTATGTACAGACTGTGACAGATTCCTTCATCTTCATCGGCGAACCAAAACTCATCAAAGACAGGTGAAGATTTGTCTTTACACACAACAGCATCTGAAACATTAAATAGAGTCAATAAATTTTGAGAAAATGTGGGAAGGAGACTTGGTGTCATAGTTAAAAATGGACTGTGGAATCAAAGACCTTGGTGGAGTTCTTAACTCACTTAGGAACTGTATGGATCAAAGAAGTTGTTTAATATCTCTAAGCCTTAGTTTCCACATTTATAAAAATAGGACTGTTGTAAAGATTAAAGAGGAGATTGGAAATATCTGCAACTTCTTAGAGTGCTTAGTAAATAAGAGCCATTATTACTGAATAATTAAATGTTATGCTCTTCTTTCAGAGTGATAAATATACTTTTTTTAATGATACAATAGGTCTTCAAAGAAGAAGAAGAAGCTATAAAGGTTGACCTTCATGAAGGTTGTGGTAGAACCAAACTATTCTGGTTGATGGCACTAGCAGATTCTAAAACAATGAAAGCAATGGTGGAATTCCGAGAACACACAGGTAAAAGAGGACGTAGGATTGAACCATGCCTACCGGTTACGATTAAACTAGATGTTAGTTTAATTATTTAATGGGAATAATTTTGAATGTATTCTGACAAGTGATTATGACATCACTGATTGCTGTCTAATTATTATATTTACTAGACAACGTAGAAAGAACATCAGAGTGAAAGTCAGGGAACCTGTTATGTAACTAACTAGCTGTGTGACCTTGGGCAAGTCATTTTATCTCCAAAACATAGGTGTGTTTTTTTCATTTTGATTTTTTTCTAAAGTGAGTCTGGTGTATTCCCAGCTTAGAGTTACATTAAATCTTACAAGTTCTCAATTTTAGCACCTCTGTAGTCTGCCATTTGCCTGACAGATTTCAAATGTTGGAGTTAAGTATAAACCTGAACAAATTTAACTCTAAATATGAGTAACTTTTCATGCTACAAGAGCATGGTCTTTTCTTCTTGTAGCTGATTTTTTCCTCCTATAATCTGCCCATGTCATATGTAAAAGTAATAAATGTTCTAATGTTAAACCACCATTGTATTCATGATATAAACTATCCTTGTTAAAGCACATATTTTCTGTAAATATTGCTGAATTGAGTGTATTACTATTATATATAGAATTTTTGTACCTGTTTAAAAATGAGCTTGATCTGTATTTTTCAAATATTTCTGTTCTTTTTTATCATTCCTTGTTTTTATATATTCTGTTCCTTCTTTAGCTCTTTCAAACATTTAAATTCCTTTTCAAATTGCTCTAGTATCTCTAGTTTCTTGAGTGGGAATTCTGTTTCTCGAGTGTCATATCTCTAATGAGGTTTTCTCCTCTGCCTTTTAATATTGTCATTGTGGAAGGATACTTAAAGTTTTCCCTTTCTTTTATGTATTTTTATTTAATGTTTGTTGTTACATTTTTCTGGTATTGTGCTTTTATAGTGGGGACCTTGCCATGTCTGCTCAGCCTGCTATCTTGACTAGAAGTTTATTTTATTTGTTTATACTGAAAAAGTATAAGTAAATCAGTTAATAATTCATTTAGTTTTCGATAGATCTTTAGCTTCCTATCCCTTTTTTAGTATGATTATTTAGTTTGTAATTAGAACCACTTAGAACTCTCCAGCTGTAAATATCTGCCAGGCTGATTTCCCAGTGATGGCAACTGATGCAAACCTGGTTTGCCTGTTTGTTTGTTTGTTTGTTTGTTTTTAATTAGTTATATTGAAATATGTAGCAAACATTCTTAAGGAGGATTTTTCTTGTTTCTGTTTGAACCTAGGCAAACCCACCACAAGTAGCTCAGAAGCGTGTCGCTTCTGTGGCTCCAGGAGTGGAACAGAGCTGTCTGCAGTTGGCAGTGTTTGTTCCGATGCAGACTGCCAGGTGAGTGTCCCAGCAGGACAGCACAGGTCCCTCATGATGCCTTTCCTTTGTATAAATAGGAGCTCCAGGTCAGCATCACTCTCTAAAGTAGAGTATTACCCATGTCCAGAGTTAAATGCTTTGTCAAAGCTGGAGGATGGATCAGATAAAGCTCTCAAGCCCAAACCAGATGCCTTTTGTGTGTTTCCCAGCTATCTTCATTATATATATTTTACTTTTCTGCTAGAAACAGTTAAAAACCTATAGGCTGTATTTCTTCTGCCTCTTGCATGTTTTATTCACTTATTTCCCAAAAATACGTTTCCAGTATCTGAAAGTTCTTTAATCCTGAACATTTATACACAGCCCATGCTGTCCAGATATTTTTGATTCTTCAAGTTAGCAAGAATTTGGAGAGTGCCCAGATAGTGAAAGATACCTGTATTATTTTTTTAAATCCTCATTTTGGTGAGGGCTTCGGTAGTGATTGAGAGATTATATGTCAGAAATTTTTTTGCTTTGTGGCTGTAACAAATGGATTACAATTGAAATTAACTTTTTATAAACATTCCCTTTATGTAGAGTGATATTTTTAAAAATCACATTTTAAGAAAATTAAAATTTGTTAATAACTCTAAGTTAATTCAAACAAAGAATAAAAATAACTTTACTTTGCTGTTACTTAGTCTTCATATGTATTTCCTGGGGTAAAATATCTTGGAAAATTAATATAATTGATAAAAGTACTAGGATGTGTGCCTTTTTGATATTTTGTATGCAAATTGTAATTCACTTTCAATAGGAATATGCTAAGATAGCCTGCAGTAAGACGCATCCTTGTGGCCATCCATGTGGAGGTGTTAAAAATGAAGAGCACTGTCTGCCCTGTCTCCATGGCTGTGATAAAAATGCCACAACACTGAAGCAAGATGCTGATGACATGTGCATGATCTGTTTCACTGAAGCGCTCTCGGCAGCACCAGCCATTCAGGTTGTCTCAGCTTTCAAAGTATTAAATGTATCTAGATTATCATTGGGAAAAAATGTCCCGCTAATGACTACCAGTTTATTAAAGAGCAAATTCTGTCTCTTATGTTCTTTTTTCATTTTGTGTGCTTAGCTTTAATTTAATATTTGTGTGAGTCTATATAATCAATAGAATGTATAAAATGTTCATAAGGGAGGAAAAAATAATTAGATTCCCCAGTAGCTACTCCCTTCTTAGTTTTCAAAGTCCAGAATGGTATTTTATAACATTATATAATTGATCTATACATACTGATACAATGATACATACCTCTACACATAATGTATATACATCCATCTATAATATTAGTAACATTAATATTATAGAAGCTACTATTTGCTAAATACTTTTTTAACGTTTACTGGTTGTTTATATTTCCAGTTCTTATAATTCAAAGGCAATATTCTCAAAAATAAATCTTTAAGTCAGTAGTTTCTTATTCTTTTTATGAGATACAAACTGAATAATTTTGCATTTCTCCCTAACCCAACTTACTCTAGATAAGGTGGCATTAATATATGATGGTAAAAAAATTAGGAGAAGGTAAAGACCTAGTTAATAATGTCTGATGAATAGTTGAAAAGTGCTGAAATTGCATTGTACTAAATTTCTTGATTTTTCTCATACCTGCTTTAAGTAACACCTTACATTGAATAATCTGCCAGTTACTCAAGTGTCTATCATTTTTACATTTGCTTATATCCTTCTCTTTTCTTTATTTAAGCTGGACTGTAGTCACGTATTCCACTTACAGTGCTGTCGACGAGTTTTGGAAAACAGATGGCTTGGTCCAAGGATAACATTTGGATTTATATCATGTCCCATCTGCAAGGTATGGAAGGAATAAAAAAATTACTTCTTTCAATTTACTTTCATCTTTTAGAATAAACACGTGTCCCTCCCAGTTTACTTTTTACCACCAGCCCCCATCAGTTTCTGCTCTCCTTATTTAGGTGGTACCTGCGAATATTATAGATCTCTCTATTGTAATATATTTCAAAACAGTAATTGTCAATTAAAAGCTCGTTAAATTACACATACTGCATCATAAAATTTATTTAGATATCATCATGCATTGAAGGACATACCTCACTACTTTCAGACTCCCTAAGAGTTCAGATCATGTGACATGGTGCAGTGGGTGACTACTGAAAAGAACACTGAGTCTATGTATGGTGCTTGTAGGTACTGATACCTGACATTAAAGAGTGAAATCTGAACTTTCAGTGCCATCAGGACAGATTCTTTTAGGTCTCAGATAAAAGAAGGAGAAACTTTCTGATACATCTCTACAAAGATAGTAATATGCAAAGTGGCAAGTTGTTTTGGCAAGCTAATAATGATTAACGGAAAAACCTTTGTTTAAAAATGTGATTGATAGTGACTTCTCTGTTAATTCTTTATTTTTTTTTCTATTTAGTTCTTCCTACTTCCTTTCCTTCAGAATTGCAGACTGGTATATAGGGTATAATATGGAAAGACTTAGCACAAGCATTGCTTAGTGAGATTAAGAAATAATAAAAAAGTAGTGTTTGCTCTCCCATCTCCTATAGTACCACCAAAAAAAGGTCACATTTAAGAAATGATACATGAAAGTTGTATGGAAAATACTACCTGCTCATTTCTACCATCTGACATTCTACCCCAGCTCCAAGGGACCGAAACACACACACAGACACACACACACACACACACACACACACACACACACACACACACACACACACACACNCACACACACACACACACACACACGAGTATGTCTTGTTTGTGGCAGCAAGGTAACCCTTTATTCCCAGAACAGTGGAGGCAGCAAGAGATAGATTCCATACTCAGGAATATGAAGCTAATAAAATGGAATTTTAACATTTTGTCCTCCGCTTCCCCCATTTCCCCTGCTCTTGGTAAAATACAGGCTCATGAGAACTTTACAAGATAGTTTGCAAGTGGCATTTTATTTAGAAAATGTTTGGTTATCTAGCACAGTGCTTGGCACTTTAGTGCACAGTTTGTTGAATTAATAAATAAATGATTCTGTTAAAGAATGTTTATTTTTTAAATTTCAGAACAAAATAAATCATATAGTATTAAAAGACCTGCTTGATCCAATAAAAGAACTCTATGAGGATGTCAGAAGAAAGGCCTTAATGAGATTGGAATATGAAGGTCTGCATAAGAGTGAAGCTATCACCACTCCTGGTGTGAGATTTTATAATGACCCAGCTGGCTATGCCATGAATAGATATGCATATTATGTTTGCTACAAATGCAGAAAGGTATGCTATAAATAACACTTAAGAATTTTTTATTAAATTTACTGGGCTGACACTGGTTAATAAAATTACATAATAGGTTTCAAGTATACAATTCTATAATACATCATCTATATATATTGCATTGTGTGTTCACCACCCAAAGTCAGATCTCCTTCCATCACAATATATTTGACCCCCTTTACCCTTTTCTACCTCCCCTTACCCCTCTTTTTCTCTGTTAACCACTAAACTGACTAGAGATTACCTAAGTGATTAAGAAGTTGAATTATATAACGATGTTCAATTATTCTTGCATCTTATCTGAAGTTTAAAATGAGAGCTTGTGCCGTGTTTCAAGTTGAATTTATTTACTTAATTTGTTTTGTGATTTTTTTTTTAACCTATACAAACTATTTTTAAAACATGAAATACTTCTGTCCACGAGCTACTCCTTCCCATCAGTAAGAACCGCCCATTTGCCAGATTCAGTTGGTTCTTGAACAAACTTCTCTTACTTGACGCTTTTGAGCATTTCCTCCTTAAATTCTTATTTCCTTGGCTTCCGGGACAACACTTTTGTTTGCTATCCTCCTTTTCTGGTCATTTGTCTTTATCTCCCTCACAGGGTATCTTTTCATTCACCTGCGCCATACATATTTGTTTCCCTATCTCTTCATCCTTGCCTAATAATACCTCCTTACCTTTGGTGACCCTCTATACACTCATGCCTTCGCCTACCACCTACACCGTTCTGACCATCCAAAATTTTTGAAATTTAGATGCACATTTCGAACTGCCTACCAGACATTTGCATTTTTCACAGGTACATCAAAGTCCATATGTCCAGTACTACATGCATCAACTTGGACTCCCTCAGTCTTCAGTCTTTATAAGGTCCTGTCAATTGTATGTCCAATCTCTCTGGAGGTTTTTTTTTTTTCTTTCTTCCTTCCTTCCTTCCTTCCTTCCTTCCTTCCTTCCTTCCTTCCTTCCTTCCTTCCTTCCTTCTTTCCTTCCTTCCTTCCTTCTTTCCTTCCTTCCTTTCTTTTTTTCTTTCTATTACATCTTTAGCAAACCTAATCATTTCCTTTGGTAATGATAGCAGCCTTCTTCCTGAGCTCTTTTTGTGGAGCCACAAATCCCTCCATGCCATCCTTTACACTTACACTGCTACTCGTAGATGAATATTTCTGGGTCTCAAATCTGATCGTGTCATTATTCCTGTAACCCTTTCACCTCTCCAGTGTCATCTCCCAATATGCTACGGTTCGCACACCCCATGCGACAAAATACTGGACAACTCGTAATTCCCCAAGCTCAGCCACGTCTGCTCACTCACTGACACCTCCATGCCATCACATAGGTGATTTCTCTTCATGAGATGCTCTCACTTCCTTCTACTGTGCTCAAGTGCAGAGCCACACCTGCCTGATCATTCTTTCAGATTCAGCTCAGGTCTCACCTCCTGTGTAATGTGCACACTCCTCCCCGTCACCAACACCACAGGGTTTTGATACATTGCATACTTCAATCAGGGCACTCATTATTCTGTATTATGACTACTGGTTCACTTGTCCGTCTGCCCCACTCCGTAAGTTCCATGAGGACAAAGACTATGTTTTTTTCATTTCTCTGTCTCCAGTACTTGGCACTTATTAGACACTAAGTTAATTAGAAAATGGATAAATGGATGAAGAATTCAGTAAATGAAAGATGCATAGTCTCCCAGTGTAACATAAAGAAAAGACAGACAATGAATGGAAAGCTAAACAGATAGATGATAACCAGAAAGGCAGACAAATATACATGCCCCAAGGAAAAACCAATAGTGTATATTTGTGAATTGTATTGTTATAAAAAATAAAATATTTCTGTGTGTTTAATGTACAAAATATCATAAATGTGTAACCATGGGGATGACAGTCCAGGCAGCCAAGCAGGGAATCTAGAAAAGTGAAACAGCTGAAATAGCCCCAGGATAAATGAAATACTTCTGAGGCCAAATTTAGCTGGAAGACAATCATTAATAACCTCTCTATCAATGGAGCCTATCTTTCGACCTGGTTTTCTGGTATAAATAATAGATTTATATTGACTCATCTTGTTTACCCTCAATTATGGATACCGCACTTTGGCTGTGGGGCATGTGCATGTCGATTGCCCCAAATACACCTGGCCTCATTTATTTTGTGCCCAGAGCAAATTCAGATAAATCATCTGTTACAGTAATTTCATTTATTCAAGTATCTGTATTGGACATTGTTGAGTTCTTGCATATAGTGTAGCTTTATAAGTATAAGCAGCATTCTGAACAGAATTACCAAATTTGCCTTTCCTTCTTAAAAATTTTTATAAGATTAAAATCAATTTTTTCTTTCCCATTAGTCGAGGATTATAATTCTACTCATATTTACTTTAGGCATATTATTTGTTCTATAGTATTAAAATTTGGGAACTTCTAATCATATTTTTTAAAGCACTGGAAAGGAATATGTTATTTATTATTTCAAAATGATGAAAAACTACTTAAACTTTGCCCTGAAAAAGCAGTTTCTCTTTACTACTCAATATCCTATTTTTGATATTTATTTTGAATGTTATACACTCTTGTTATTTTGCTGTGATAGTATAGTGTTTGAATGGCATACTGGAAACATGAACCCGTTCCAGAATTGAAGCATAGCAGCTTTATTTCTTACCCCTGATCTGTTCTACAGGCAGCCATAGGGCATCCCACGTAGCATTGCAAGGGAGCATCTAATACACAGTAGAGTTTCCTAAGACCTCTTCTTTCCACTACACCCAAACTGTATCTGCCATGCCAGAGGGTTTTTTCGCTGCTGTAATCTAATGGTTCTCTTCCTAGGCATATTTTGGTGGTGAAGCTCGCTGTGATGCTGAGGCTGGACAAGGGGATGACTATGATCCCAGGGAGCTCATTTGTGGTGCCTGTTCCGATGTGTCCAGGGCTCAGGTGGGTAGCACATGTTAATAGAAAAGATAGTTTAGAAATGTTAAACTTCCATTTTTTTAAAATAATAATATATCCATTATGAGAGGAATGATTTAACAGGTTTTTTCCCCCAGTGTTTTCTGATGTTTGTACAGCAGTGTATAATTTTCTAGATTATTTCATATATGTTATTTCTTTTTGGTGGGATTTGCATTTTATAATTATGTCTTCCATAAAATAACCACCATATTTCAACAATTAATAAATGTACTTATTTCATCTTCATAAACCTGCAGTCATACTTTCAGAATTTCCCCTCTTCAATGAAATCTTCACAGTACATCATGAGATTGAGAGATAAATGAAATATTATTAATTTTTCAATTTGGCTGACCAGGAAACATTCACAAGGAAATTAAGTGGCTAGCTTATTAAATAAGATTAGTTGTGCTGGAGCTGAGATTAGAACTTGGGGCTTTGTCCAGATCTTTTGGGAAAAGCCACACATTTCATTATTTTTTTAATGTGCGCATCATCAATTTTTCAGTCAGTTTTGAGAGCTGTGTGTACTCTCAAAATATGAAGCACTGAGTTGTGTATATAACTGTCTTAAGTATAATTGAAATAGACTCACTATAATCTTGTGTCTGTCTTATTTTCTTTTGCTATAGATGTGTCCAAAACACGGCACAGACTTTTTGGAATATAAATGTCGCTACTGCTGTTCAGTGGCTGTCTTTTTCTGTTTTGGAACAACACATTTTTGTAATGCTTGTCATGATGATTTTCAAAGAATGACTAGCATTCCTAAGGAAGAACTACCACACTGTCCTGCAGGTATGTTGTTAATATTTTTAAATATGACTATGATGTCTGTGGTGTCTAGTTTCATTTACTGATCACATGAGAACACTTTTATTTCAAGTGGCAAAAACCCAGGTCAAGCTATCCTAAAAAATCCGAGGGGTTCCATGGCTCTGGTGAACTTCTGTCTTTCTGTGTGAAGTAGGAAGTAGGCTCCACATCGTGCCTGAGGGGTTAGGAGCCATAATGGAGCAGATTGTTTGGGTAATGAGAGGGAAGTCGGCTAAGGATTAGTGAAAGGATTGCTGTTCAGTGAAGTTTAAAATTATAAATGTACAATAGAACCATTTAAAGGGATTTTGTGGGGGGTTTTTTGGGTTTGTTTGTTTTTTGTTTTAAGAAGCCTGGAACTGGCACCATAAAATGAGCAGGTAATTTAATCTAGAATGGCTGGGAATTGGCAGCATATAGTGAGCATGAGAAAGCCAGGGGAGTTAAAGAAGCCTGAGAAAACAGGAGAGATGATTATGTGTGGAGGTCAGGCTGAGAAAAAGTCAATAGGAAACCAAAAAAAGACTGCAAATTGGAAGAGGTCATGAGGCTGTTGATCACAGTGAGGCAGAATAACAGGCTTAACGCCAGTGAGAGAAGCAGAAGAGGTAAATGTGACCATAGTGAAATATCTGACGCCAGTGAGAGAAGCAGAAGAGGTAAATGTGACCATAGTGAAATATCTGAATCAGTGAAAATACATATTGAAATACATACACCACGTTATACAATGTTGTTAAAGCTGGGAAACACACACACACACGCTCATCCATTGCTTATCAGAGTGCAAATGGTAGAACCCTGTGGTGCTTCTCAGAATTGCAAATACCTCTACCCTTTAACAATCCCACTTCTGGGGATATACCTACATATGTGAAGAAAATAAACAAGGGCAAATGTACAAGGCTATTCACTGCAGCATTGCTTATAAAAAAATTTATAAACAATATATGTATCCAGTAGGGTGCTGATTAAACAGTAAGTAATATGCACCATTAAAAAAAGAAGATGACTGAGGATGGAGTTTCTATGTATTGACATGGAAAGATCTATAGGAGACAGTATTAAATGAAAATTCAAATTATAAAAGAGTGTATATAGTGTGATCCCTTTGTAAGAAAGGAGGAAATTAATGTATACATTCATATTTGTTTACATTTGCATAAAAACACTGGGAGGATACACAAAAATTAATAAAATTGATTATTTGGGAGAAAACAGGAAAGATAGGGTAGAGGTGGGAGAAGGTGACTTCTTGTATATAATTTTTTAGCATTTTAATTCTTAAACTATGCAAGGTGTATTTATTCAAAAACAAAGATAAGATAAATAGGGGTTATTTGTAAGTATGGCTATTTTTTGCTCTGTGCATGTCAAATAAAAACTGTTACACCTCTAAAAACTTTTTTTTTGTAAACAGAAGTAGTGGACTTTAAAAGAAGCAAGGTTAGAATAATGTGTGGTTGGAATGTTTAGGATAATGGCCAGAATAGAGGTATAAGCCATCATTAGCAGGAAGAAAGTGGGCTGGAGGTCAGCAAACGAAGGGAGTGAAAGGGGGGCAGGCAGGCAGTGTTCTAGATCATTAGGGCTTCAAGGGAAGAGGAATTATTGAATAAAAATTGTAGGTTAGCAGTCTGGAAATAAACAGGAACTACAGTAGGAAAGTCAGTTTTGCTTTCTGGCCTTATGATACAGAGCAGTTGGGAGATAGATAACCAACTTCTAGCTGAGCAAGTTTAGAGGTAAGCTGTGTCATCAGGGAAAATCCAAATTTTACTGAATGAAAGTTTCTTCTTTGTTAAAAAACAAAAAAAAACCCACAAACAAAACACTAAGAGCAATAAGTAAGTTAGCGAGTAATGAAACAGATGTTGCCGAGAACACAGTAGCAGAATAGTCACTGAGGAGGACAAGTCAGGCAACAGCCAGGCTCCCCCTGGTACACTCACATAATCATGCAGATCAGCCAACAGAAAGGACTTTGCCCTTAGGAATCAGGAAAGGAGTTAGGGAGCTGGCAACAGGAAGGAACTGACTTTGATCCGGGCATTTTCACATGTATTTTCTCACCTAATTTTTACAACCTACAAGGTATAGTATTACCTCCCACATTCACAAATGGAAAATTAAGGCCTAGAAAGGTTCAATTCCTAGCCTAAGATCATAGACTTGGATTGAGGTGTGCTCTCCTAGCTTTACACATTCCTCTAGCTAATCCATTCATTTAGAGAACTGGAAGAGAAATAAAGGGGGTGTCACAGTGAATCAGCAAGGAAGATGGCCATGCAGCTTACTTAGAAAGACAGGGATCGATTTTCTTAACTCTCAACTTATTAATTTAAACTTTTACTAATATGTATGAAAACAAGAGTCCAGATTAAGAAATAGAAGTAAATAATTCCTCTGTCTGTCCATTCCTTTCCAAAACATTTATTCATGACCTTCTAGGTGCCAGGATACTTAATCTTCACAGCACCCTGTGATTTGGAGGTTGCTGTGCCTATTTTAAAGATGAGGGATTTATAAATCAGAAAAATTAATTTTGCCTTACCTGCAAAATATTAACTGCCTCTGTGATTATTAGAGGATTAAGTGGGCTGATATACTAGAATAGTGCCTCAACAGTAAGCACTCAAATAACTACAGGTGTTTTTTCCTTTTTATTTACTTCTACTATTTTTTTTTATCATCACATTAGTTTATGAACTCCTTGAAGATAGGGCCCATGTACCATTCATCTTTACATCCCAAGCACCTAAACACCATCCACACATTAGACACTTAGTAAAAATTTGTTGAATAAATGACCCTTTATTTTTTCCCAAGGACTGCAGTTTGCAGGAGCCACCATTGATGGTGTTGTAGACCTGAGCTAGATCTGCCATTGAGAGGTTCCCTCCTGCCTACCCTGCCCCACCCACTAGTGGGACGAACAGAATACTAGTGTGCAGTGTGATTTGGGATGGGATACTGGTCTACTATATCATTTATAACAGGAATAATTACCTTTCTAACAAACTTCCAGCATCCTCCCATCTTGACCCATGCTGGGGTCATGTGCCTGCATTTGTTTGAGGCCGTACTAACTGCTGCTCTTGTGGCTATTAGCTGGAGCCAGCAGCTAGCCTCTCCCTCTGAGGTTAGCTGTCTTCAGTTTGATACTGGCCTTCACGCCTTGGTTCTCATATAAGAACTTACTTTTTATTCCTCTAGTTGAGGCCACCATTTATTGTTGATCAGTAGCAGTAATAATAGCTAACTGATTCTTATGAGTATTTATACTGTGCCAGGCTCAGAGCTTCATAAACACTTGCCTTTTATCCCTCTGTTTTTCTTCTTGTATGTCAGAGTAGTTTTTAAACCTAGAAGAGGTAAATTAAATGAGATCTCATTCCTCATTGATCTGGATAAGCTCATCCCATCCAATTTTTTTTTTAAATCAACTTTTTTTTTTATTACGAAATACACATTTTTTAGAATTAGTTTCAGCTGTACAACACAGTGCAATAGTTATACTTTTTACCCCTCGAAGTGACAATCCCCCTCCCCCAATCCGCTGCCCCACTTCCCCCCAATATCATACATATCTATTACAAATCCCTTAACTCCACTCCCACACTATACTCCATGTCCCGTGACTATATATATATATTCAACTATAGTTGACATACAGTATTATACAACATCAGCTTCAGGTGTACAGTGCAGTGATCAAGCCTCTTCCCCATCCATGATGCAAGACATGTGACCACCTAACACCCTACAAAATATTTACAACATTATTAATTATATTCCTCAAACTGTCTTTCATGTCCCTGTGACAATATTGTAGTTACGTATTTATGCTGTCTAACCCCTTCCCCTTCTCCCTCATCCCCACCCCCTCCCAACTAACAGCCATCAGTTGTTCCTCTATATCTCTGAGACCACTTCTGTTTACTTTCCTCGTTCATTCAGTTTTTTAGATTCCACATATAAGTGAAATCATATGGTATTTGTCTTTCTCCGACTGACTTATTTCACTTAACATAATAGTCTCTAAGTCCATCCATATCGCCCCAAATGTTACGATTTCATTCTTCTTTAGGCGGAGTAATACTCCATAGTGTAAATGTACCACAGTTTCTTAATCCAGTCGTCTACCGATGGGCATTTCGGTTGTTTCCAAGTCTTGGCTATTGTGAACAGCGCCACAATAAACATAGCATCCCATCCAATCTTAATATTTTTCTCTCAAACAAAATAAAAATTTACATTTATTATTTTGGAAACTTGCTGTGGGAAACTAATGCATAGTTCTTTTCCTTCCTCTGCTGTTAATAGGAACACCACATTCAAGTTATAAACCCAGCCTATATTCTCTACACGGTGAAGCTCATTTATAAAAGAGCTAACAAGCCTTTTCTTAAATGATATGAAACACATGACATGAAGCACATTAGCATAACAAGTTCTTTTAAAAAATAGAAAATGCAGTTTTTTGTACATTTTAAGCCTAGTTTATTGATTATTATCTTCAAATTTATCTTTCCCAAAGTGTTCCTTTTGGATTATTACATTATATATTATTTTACTGCTCATATTTTTAAGGTGATTAATTTTTATTTTTCTACTAATCTCTCTCCCATCTACTTTTCAAAAGAACAATAATAATCAATCTTCCTATTTTACCAATGTGTGCCTTTTCTTCAGAGGAGATGAAAGGGTAACATGGCTTATTTATACTTAAATTTGTTTTTTCCTAGAGAAAAACATTCTATACAAAAGTGTCCATATTTTCTTATCCAGAATAATTTTCTGCTAGACTAAACTGAGGGATTTTTGTGACCATTTTTGCTCATTGCTCTTTGCTTTAAAATGATGTACATAATTCATTTATTAATAGAAAAAGATCGGAGGCTCATAGTGTCTATTTCTAGGCAGGATATTGTGGGTAAGGGACCACGTTCCTTCTTCTACATATATATCTGGTATGTCAAGTTTTTTATGGTGAATATTTTACTTTTGTGGTTAGAAGAAAAACATGTTTTTCATTTTATGTTTGCATAACCATAGTCTTGTTATTTCTTTGAGTGACTTATCAATGATTTATATTTACATTAAGTTTCTTTGTGTGTGCGTGTATAAAATATATATATATATATTTTTTTTTTAATTATATTCTCTTGCCTCCTTCAAAATGTATGCAGGTCCCAAAGGCAAACAATTAGAAGGAACTGAATGCCCACTCCATGTTGTTCATCCACCCACTGGGGAAGAGTTTGCTCTGGGTTGTGGAGTGTGCAGAAATGCTCACACTTTTTAAAACACTCAGATTCCTTTGTCTATAGAGAGAAAAGTTGCCTTCATCCCCCAAGCGGATGTGGTGAAGTTTAAACTCTGCTCAGGATAAGGACGGGACCATTTTTACATCCATGAAAATGAACCATTCACAGTGCAAGAAGGATGCCAAATACCATGTACATAATTCTTGCTGTGGAAAGTTTCCCCATTATTTTGGTTTATTTTCTTTTGAGCCAAGACATCAAACTTGTGAGGTGTTTGCATGTGGCCATTACCGTCATTGGCCTGTGAAGCATTGGACATTTATAGATAATTGATATAAGAGAATCACCATGCCCATGGACTAAGAATGATGCTGGCTTTCAAGCAAAAAAGACAAATAATCATTGTTGATTGTATACTGCCTTTTTGTAATCCTGTACAATTGCATCACGGGTGGGGATAAAAAGAGGAATATTCTGGTTTATTTCCTAGACTGTTATTTAAAAAAAAAAATCGTGTTAGGACAGCATATAAATGTAATAAGTATCACACTGTATATAAAGATATCAATGTTTGTCCTCTATAAGAATTACTAAATTACAAATGCAGTTTCATTTAAACTTCTAGGTTAAGTTTGAGCCTGAAATTTTAATGAAGTGCAATACTGAGTGTGCCTCATTATCTTGCAGCTGTAAACATATTGGAATGTACATGTCAATAAACCACTGTACATTTTTATACAGTGATAAAGTCTAACAATTGTGTAAGGTGTTGCTTAAGAAACAAAATTTAAACATCTTTAAGGTCTAAAACATCCAGTTTTCTTTGAAATTTACTAACAGCACAGTCAACTTGCATAATTGTTACGAAAAATAAGAATAGTAATGAAGCACAATGTTGGAATCTAATTAAACACTAGGTAGAAAAAAATATATATGCATATACATATAGATATTACTCTCTCTATATATGTGTGTGTGTGTGTGTGTGTGTGTGTGTGTGTGTGTGTGTGTGTGTGTGTTTTCGTACATAACAGAGGTATGCCAAAGACAGAAGAAAAAAACATTTAGGACATTGACCAACCTCCACCTTATTAACCAGCACCTTTTAGAACTTTTATAAATAATCAACAAGATCCCTTTACTATAGACTACAGTGTGTTTTGGTAGCTTTTTTTTTTTTTTAAATAACCCATGAAATTGCTGAATTGTTTCTTTATGACTCATCATGAACTCAGAATATATTTGTATCATGAGTCTGACAAAAGTTTTGATTGGTTTTATCCTAAATTTCTACTGTTGTAAATATATTTGTTGAGCATTTGTGAGAAATTTAAAATAATCTGTGCCTTGAATGACCTCAAAATATAAAGAAAAGATCAAATCAAGAGCACAGATAACTATTTAGAGACTGTCCCAATAAATTTCATTAAAATGCCCCAGCCAAATGCTTTAGGATTTAGGAAAGATCATTTTTAATGGTTTCCTGTTTTTGTTGTTGTTGGGAGGAGTGTAACTAAGAGGTCATTGGAGCTGCATCTTGAAGAATAAGTAGCATTTCAAGGGGCAGAGATGTAGAAAAAGGCATGAGAAAAAAGTAGGTGCATAGAAAATTCTAGAATGTGATGGACTAGTGAGTAGTCTAGCTTTCTTGATGTTAGAGAGCTTACTGTTAAAAACAACAAAAAAAGACTGATCTCTTCATGACACAACTTGTTGATCCACTATTCAAGCACATGGGGACTTTGAAATGGTACAGAAGGTCACACTTCATCTAAATAAGATACATCAGAACCATCACTGTAAAAGAAATAACACTTTCTTTTATAACTTCTCAAGAGAAGATTATACAAACTTCCTTTGTAGTATGTGACAGTGCCTTAGACTTGCAAGCAATTTTTTAATTGCCTGATGTGTTTGAAAGCAGGAGGAATAATTTGTCATTTAGGGACTTATGGTGCTTCCAAACCAAGCTGTAAGTGTTGCAGGCAGCATTTATTCAATTTCAATGTCTAAAATACTTTGGATTAATATTTCATGAAGAAACCCTGATACCTTAAGTTGAAAAGGGTCCTGAAGGTATTCATATGTTTATATCCTCACATTTTTCTTTTTGACAAAATACGAGTTGGGACACTACTTTTGTGTTCAAAAGAGAGTCCAGAACCTTCAGCACAGCACAGCCTTTTTCTTCAGGACATGTCATTCTGCCATGAGGATGTTGGGTGACAGGATGACCCTGCTCCCCAAAAGACCCTGCTCCTCGCCCCATCTTCTACCTCTCAGGACCTGCTTAGGAAGCTTTGCCTCAACCTGCTTTCCCAACCCACGCCAATCACAGAAATCTCGTTCCATTCCCAGGCCTATGGGAGAAAATCGAGGGCGCAGGCTGCGGATTGGCTTTAAATGTTTCCAGGAAACACAAAGTAGGTACGGAGACAGAAGCTGTCCGTAGACATACCCCAGGAAAATGAAGGGAGAATGTGATGAGGCCATTGTAAGTATAGTTGACTTAAACTAACAGAACACAGGAATAAAACTGACCTTGAGAATGCCACACAGATAAGAGACGTCATGGATGCTTGAGAACTGTAAAGAATCTCATTTTTATCCATTAACTTCGCTGGCACATTGATCAGCTCCAGTGTGTATACTGCAGTGGAAAAGAAAGGAAACAGGAAACTATTGTGATTTCTTGAATTAGCATGAGCCATCTCAAGTTAATATTCTAGTAATAAAAAGGATAAAAGCAACAAAGCCCTGTAACATAAACTCAAAATAACTTCAACTTACCTTCACTTATGAGGAAGCTATTTTCAATCATACCCCAACCATCTCGACACCAGGAAACTTAAACATTTTAGGAATAAATTATGACAAAACAGAAGGGAGAGGCTTTGGCAGACATTTGGCTCAAGCACATTGTACACAAAGACCATTGTCAAATGCTATGTGTAATATACTAGGAAACAAAGCAGAGTCACAGTTCGGGCATCTGGAAGGAAACGTTCACTTTCCTCTTTTTTTTTTTTTTTAATTGGGGAATTAGGGGATGGGAACAGACAAGTTGCTGTCCTTTTGTTCTTCAGTCTAGTTGTGAAGGACGTTGCTTCACTGGCCCAAGTTGGCACCATCATTGCGCTCTTCCCAGGTGAGGCAGATCAGTCACTTGCTTCTGAACGGCTGCTCTCAGCGGCTGCTGGCTACACACCGTAGCCCATGGCAACCCACTGCAGCAGCGGCGGCTGCAGCCTTCGCAGTCACTGGTGACCCACGGCAGCACAGCTCCAGGTTGAGCTGTTGTTCAGCATCTTAGCTGTAGAGGGCAGTGTCACTGGCCCTCATATGTGGGATCCGAACCGGGGCCCTCTGGCGTCCCATGCCACTCGGCCGGCCCCGTGCCACTCGGCCGGCCCCAACGTTCACTTTCTGTTTGTTACATTTTCAAGCCGAGGAAAAGCCATTTTTCTTAGTTTTCTGGCTAGATTGTTTAGGGCTAAAAACTCCTTATTCTCTCAACAAGCTTATTTGAAAAATATATGTAGTGCTCTCTTTATTCCCTCTTAATTCACAATGGTTATTGATTTGCCACCTTTTTCAGATTTTCAGCCCCAACATCTCTCCCTGCCCACTTTGTCACTGAATTCCACCTGCAAGTGGTAACGTGTTTCTGACAGTGTATGTGATGAAACATTGCAGCTCAGTTTCCTACAAACTGCCCACAGTACCTAAGAGCCCTGGAACTGAAACCAGATTTGAGTTTAGGTCCCAACTCTGCCTCTGTTTGGGCTGTGTGACCTTCAGTCAGAACACTTCACCTTTTTTAGTCACAATTCCTTAAATTTTAATACTGAATCTAAATCAAATGAGAACGTATTTACAAAAGCACTTTATTCCATGATAAAGTATGATTCAAAAGTGAAGAGTAAAGAAGTATTTTTCCTTAACACCTTCTAAATGGCAGACACTGGATTATAGGCATTTTATTTAATCCTTCCAGGAACTCCGTAGGGTAAAACATTATTAATCTCATTTTAGCAGATAACTTTAAAGGTTTAGAGAAGTTAAATAACTTGCAGTAGATTCTAGCTAATATAATCTAGGTTTGGGATGTGAATCCAGATTCTTCTGTCTCTCAAATCCAAATTTTACCACATCATGCTATTACTATTACCAACTTTTCTATGAGAAGAAGTTATGAATTGGTAACTGGATATTGCAATATGGGCAAGGTGGCAAAGGCAACAAGACCGTCTGCCTCAAGGAGTGTGCAGTTTAAGTCCAGAGGCGCACGACTCATATCCCCCTTCATGGGAGACCCTACCTGCAGGAAGGCGGTGAGCTGGCAGCTGCCAGCTGCACCACCTGTGAGAGCCACCACAGCACTCCACCTAAGCCACACTCTCCCTGGGCAGCCCCAGTCAATGACAACATTGCAGGGGTGCTACAGCTGGCCATTTCTGCCCAAGGAAGCACTCCCTCCTGAGCAATCGTCCTTTCCCCTGTCCTTTCATAGATGCCAAATCCACATCACAGACTGAACGCTCTCCCTGCGGACTCCCTTGCCCCTGACCTGTCACAGGCACTACCCCCAATAGATTTCTTGTACCTCTAACTTTATCTTGGCATCTGCTTTTCTAAAGGATCTCACTGACCAACACAAAAGGATAATACATTATAAATAACTTAGGGTTGCTGCATTTCACAAATGACATAACTTGGAAAAAAGTACATAGACTATAAAAGATAACTACTGGAGGGAATTACACTAAAGAGAAATTATGAAAGAAACAGAAGCCAAGGTTTGAGATGAGTGTCCAGTAAGTAAGTAACCATACAGCCTTGCATTGTTGCTAGACAACAGGCCATCATCTCAGTAAATTTCTTAGCTAACAAAGCAAGGCAAGAAACGTTCAGTTTCAACTTACAATGTCCATTTCCTAAAAAAAAATTTTTTTTTAAATGCAAGTGTTTGAGCCTAGTCTTAAAGGACGTTTTGACAAGCAAAAAGTGGGAAGGAGCGTGTCAGGGAGAAAATGTGGTGAGATGTGTTCCTCAGAAGTGTAAGTAAGCTCTTTTGCTTCATTAATTCACTTAATAAACATTTGAGCACCTGTCCTATATCCATACTTGACAGTACAGGCTCATGACAGTGGAAACTATATTCCCAGTTGCTTAGTAACCATGATTTACCCACAGAAGGGGCTTGAGGTATGAACTGTATGAGTTAGTGAGTAAATATGTGCAGTGCATGTGCCAGGTACTAGGGATGTGACAGTCACAGAACACAAACAGAAACATCAAGAATACAAAGTTATTAAGAACTATAGTCAAGTGGCTCAGTTGGTTAAGAGCTCGCTCAAGAGTTTGAGCTCTGAGCAACAGCGGTTCGAGTCAGCCCGAGCTGAGCAGCCGCTGAGCTGCCAAAAAAAAAAAAAAAAAAAAAAAAAAAGAACTATAGTCAAGGTTTCCTAATAAGGAAAGGTAACATTTGTTGAGGGCTGACAGTGGCCAAGCACGTGTGAATGTGTGGGTGTGGAAGGCGGGCCCCCAAATACACCCATGTCCTAATCCCCAGGAGATGTGAGTATGCTGCCTTACATCTCAGACAGGATTTTGCAGATGTGGTTAAGGGTGAAGACCTTGAGATGGGGAGATTTTCCTGCTTTAACACAATAAAAATGTAATCACAAGGGTCCTAATATGGGGAAAAGGAGGCAAAGTCAAACACCTTGAGTTTAGCCCGTTTTGGACTTCAGACCTCCAGAACTGTACAATAAGAAATTTCTGTGGTTTTAGGCCACTGAGTCTGTGATGATTTGTTACAGTAACAATCGGAAACAAATACAATGGGCTTTACATGCATTATTGCATTTTCATCATCTACAAATCTATGAACTATTGTTTTCCTTCTGCAGATAAAGCAACTGAATTTCACAGAAGTTAAATAACTAGCCCAAGGTTTTGTAGAGACTTAGTAAAAAAAGACAAAAAGAGGAAAGTATCTCAAAAATTTTTTTAAATTACATATAGAAATAATATTTTGTACATATTGAGTATATATTTAAGTTAAATATTAAAATTAATTTCACCTGTTCTTTGTTACTTCTTTAAAAAAACTATGGCTTCTAGAAAATTTTGAATAACGTATGTGGCTTGCATATATTTCTAATGAATAGTACTGGCCTAAAATCCCATTCTCAACAGTGTGGATTTTATCACCCATCTTTGGACTTTTTTGAGCAAGAGATGTGCTTTAGGGAATATAATGCAGGAAGCAGGTCAGACAGTGGCTGGAAAAACAGTCCCTGGTTTGCTGACCAGCTGGAGAGTTTTAACTGTGGTCTTGGGAAGACATGATAAAGGTTCTTGTCAGTCTCAAAACACACTTCTCTCCTTTGAGGAGTTTACAGTCTAATCCCAGGTGCAGTTAAAATCCAGAGAGAGGGCCTGAGATGAAATGGTTTTGTTAGCATAATATGCCAGACAGGGTGGTCTGTGGTGGCGTAACTAAGAGGGGAGACGCCAAGTTGGAGAGAGCCTCCTCACTCGTGGAGTTACAGCCAATAGTGAGAACAACAGCAATATAGCTAGCATTTACTATGTGTATGCCTGCAGCAGACCTGTGCTTTACGTATGTTAACTCATTTAATTCTCACAACTCTATGTGGTAGAGTTATTATTATTCCCATTTGGCAGATGAGGAAACTGAAGCACAAAGAAGTTAAGTAGTAACTTGTCCAAGCTCACATATCCAGTGAAGGCGGAATCAGGATCAGAACCTGAGCTACAACCCGACCCACATCTTCTCCATTCCAATCTGGAGCAGGTTTGACTGAGCAATGGAGGTGAGAGCAAGATCCAAGAAGGGGATGGGGGAGACGAGTTTCTCCTCCTGTTGGGAAATACCAGGCTGGGGGAGCTGAGAGAAGAGAAAAAGGAGAGGAATTGGGGAGAAACAAAGAGGTCAAAGAGTGGGAAAGCACATTCTAATCTCTAAGGCCCTCCACTTCTATGATTCAGAGGAATGACTAAGGCAGAATTAAAAGTTCTCTTCCTCCCCGACTCAACTGCTCTTCAGAGATCTAACTGCCCCTCAGGAAAGAATTCATGCCTCTTTCTTATAGTAAGGCCGGTGGTTGATAGGTCAACTTGGAGGCAGGAAATCCATCAAAAAGGGGCAGTTGTAAGCCCATTTTCCTAGGGCTCCATCTAAGACCAGTCCAGCCCCAGGGACCAACCACCCCTATGTTACTAGGCAGAATTGCCCTTGGTGAATGACAGCTATAGAGAAGATGCCACACCTACCCCCAGAAACAGGACACAGGAGACCAAATTCCATGACTGCCTTCCAGTCAGAAGGAAAAATCATTTGAAACCCAAGGAGGAACCTTCCCAGGTCAAGTTTGTACCAGTAAGGAGTTTTGGTAGCAAGCGAAAGAAAACAAATTCAAAATAACTTTAGCAAGTAAAAAAAATGCAATCACTGCGATACCTCCAGCCCCTGGAAACAGAGTAGAGCCAGGGCTGGGGACTCAGGCTCCGTGGCTCCCGCTAGGTCCTCTTGCATCTCCTTTGCTTTTCTTTTTTCTCACCACATAGTGAGTGCCTTTTTCTGCTTTCCAGACCCTGTGGGACGAAATGACCTATAGCTCCTAGGGTTATCTGTTACAAGCCCAAGCACACTCACGGAAGGGATTAATAAAGCTGACTAAACGTTGGGGTTTTTTTGTTTGTTTGTTTGTTTTTAATCACATGCACTGGCAATTCTAAATAGGGCCAGTAATAAAATATTTTTTTCTGCTGGATCCAACTACTCCACAGCCAGCCTTCCTCTCCACCACAACTGATAAATGTAAATAAGTACTGACTGATTAAAACATAAATACAACTTTTTTTAAAAAATGAAATAATGTCATTTAATACTAATAGGGATGAAGAGGGAGCATTTGATAGGTAAACTACACCAAGTTCTTTGTCTTCGTTAGGGAGAAGATAACCTGTAATGGGGAATTTAAAAAGGACTACAATTGGAGTGTGACAGTCTTAATGTGATAATAACATATACTCATTCTATTTGCTGATTTAACGTGCTTTGCTGATCATTCATAATGTTAACCTAGATTTAAATAAATGGGCCTGTATTTGGTTTTCTTCCTCTAGTAATTACCATTGCCTGTCTAAAAACCTGCTTCATCATCCAGTCACTGAGGAACCTAAAACAATGTTGCAGTTCAGGTACAACCACATTATGTTATTAGAGACTTTGTTCAGTTTTGCTTGATGATTCAATAGTCAGGTCCTAACAGAAAACACTGGTATTTTCCCAAAAGGATGTAAATGTAATTTTACACATGACTTCCTAGCTCAATTTGGGGGTGTGGGTAGGCGAAGTGGAAGAGTGGAGGGCTCCCTGGGCATCACCGCCTTGCAGTCTCTTACACATGGGTCAAATCCTTGAGAAGACATCTTTGGATGGAAAATTACTTTCTTTTTATTTTTGAGGGAAGCAGGAGTGGTGGTGTATGACTCGAGTTATGATCTTGCATCTAAGGACATTCTAACTATCCAGAAATCCAAACTTTTAAAACAAGTTAACTAGGTAGCAGTGACAAAGATGCCTCGATTTACAAAAGGGTTCAACAGAGGTTTTAAATTACCATCTATTCCTTTACGTTTTCCGTATTGTGTTTCAGAAAGCTATTAATAAACTACAGGAGTCTATTTTATAAAGGAGGTTTTTAGAAAGTATTAACTCTGATTAATATCGTTTTTAGAAAAATTGGAAAATATGAATATTTTTAATATAAAAATCATTTGTACTCCCAGCGATAACACTGTCACCATTCTGGTATATTTCCTTGCAGTTTTTAAAAACACCTTATGTATACAAGAAGTGTGCATATTTTTAGAGCCTGTATTTTAACCTCTTGGGTTCCGCAGCGCAGGCGTGGCCATCCGAGGCCGCGCCCCGCGCGTGGAGGTGTGTCAGGGGCGCCCAGCTCCTGTTTATCCTTCTTGCCCGCCAACCAGCAGCTGGGCTCCAGCAGGCTCCAGAGACACTCCCTCCGTTCCTCCTTCTGCTCCATGTCCCTAAACTTTCCAGTTTCCACCACAGATAGTCCCTGAAACCTGTAGTTAGCTCCAGCCTTCCCACTTCGCCATCACAAGGAAAGATCACCTAGAAGTAGCAGTCACGTGGAATACCTGGAGGCGGAGGGACCCCAGCTGCGCGGGGCGGTGAGCGCTCCCGCGTGGGCGCGGCCCACTCGCGCGCGCCGCTGCGGACACGCGCCCCCTCCGGGCGGAGACGCGCCAGGGAAAGCGCGCGGCCGCGAGCCCCGGGCGCCATTTTGGAGTCGGTGTCGGTGCCGAGGCGCAGCGGATCTACGCGGTGCCGGCAGCTCGCTGAGGAGCCTTTCACCGCGACAAGTGGTCCCGGGAGCAGGACGCGGACAGCGCGGGACTGAGAAGGAAGGCGTCTCCCTGGGCAGCCAGAGCCGCAAAGGTGGATCCGCATTGGTGCCCGCCGCGGGACCAGCGTCTCGGATGCGGGCGGAGCGTGGGGGGCCGCGGCGGCGGGAACCCGAAGCGCGGGGCCCGGGGGGCCTCATGTGAGAGCCGCGGAACCAGCCGCCGCCGCCATCCCCGGAGTCCGGGGTGGTGTGTGGGGGAAGCCGCCTCCGGCAGCAGGTAACAGCGAGGGTTAGAGCCGGAGCCCCGCTGCGACGGCGGGGCCGGGGAGGGTCGGCCGACATTGGTGGACGGTGGACGGTGGGGGGGCCCGGGGCGCGAGGGGGCCGCCCCTCGGGAGCGCTGGGCGGGGCGCGGGGCGCGGCACTCAGACCTTGGAGTCGGCTTGGGGGCGTTGCCCCGCTTGCCAGCTTCAAAACATGTCAACAAGGCGTGGTGAGTGTGCGGCGGCCGCCGACAGCCTCCGCGCGACACCGCCGCGCCCGCCTCGGCGCGGCCGTCGCCTGGCCTCGTCGCTCTTGGCCGGGGTTGATGACAGGCACCTTTGAGCTCGCGCTGGGCCAGGGCCGCGCCCGTGCCCGTAGCTTGAGCCATGAGGGGTGTTAACTATCAAAACAGACTTCGCAGGCAGGGCGCACGAGCAGTGTCGGGGAGGTGGCCCGGGAGGAGGGGACGCCCGGGGCGCTTGGCCAGGTGGGAAACTTGGGCAACTTGTGCTGAGCGGCGTCGCGCCTGCCTTTGGCGTGAGCGGCTGCTGCAGACGGGGCTGCAGACGGGGATCTGGAAGCGGCCTGTCAAGTGACCGGCCTGCCTCTCAGCGCTAAGAAGCGAGATGACTGTTACCTCGTTGCTTATGAGTCCAACCCAATGGCCCAGATCTTTTAAATTAGTCTCGTTTTCCCTACCATCCCTGAAATATTTATCAAAATGCCGTCGACTGCCAATTATCTACAAATGTCGACTAGACAGATTTTCACCAGTACATTTTCCCAATCATCTAGTTCTGAGAGTTAACCTCTTTCCACTGGTTTATTCTCGTATTCCAGCCAAAGAATGCATGTTAAGTTTGATGTCAGTCAAAGCAGAACATAAGTGGAAAGCAAATGTGATGCCAAAACAGGCTTCATAGAGCTAAGTACGAATGGGCTTTCAAAATTACCAGGAGCCCAGTGTACTCAAGAGTGCCACACGAGTGAGGGACACACGATGGTTCTCTTCCGCCCTTCATCTGACGTGCAGGTGTGACTGCTCCTTTCAGAATAGGGGGACATGTTGAGTGAGTGAGTTCAGTAACTCCCTGCGCTGCTCAACTAATCTGTAGTTTTTCCTCATTAGTTTGCTTTTTGGCCCTTCCTAGTAATAGCAGTCCCTCACCTAATGCTCTAGTGGCTCAAGTTGCATCAATCATATGGGGCCTGGAGAAGTTGCAATTTGAGGTTGAATTGCTGGAGCCCTGAAGAGGCCTGCCTGGTGTGAGTGCTGTTCAAGCCTCTTTGACACTTATTGTCCAGCTTCCTTCTCTTGCACTCCTGTTCAAACAGTATAGGTGTTTCATTTTTACTAAAAGGCGGAGATAATCCATTGAAGTAAATTCTTTGCAGACTGGTGGGTGCTTTGAATTGTTTAACTTTCTGTATAGCAGAACTTCATGTGTAAATAGATTTAATAAAATAATTTCGAAAGCCATGTAAATTTTGGCATGGATAAATGAGATCATCTTGAAAAAAAATTGACATTTAAAATTTTTATTAGATGCCCACTGTGTGATCTGTTTTTTCATGCACAAATGAGGACAATACGGAGACCATTTTTATTGGCATTTGGGCTTAGGGTTTTTCTATTGCTTAATGTACTAGAATTCTGAAAATTACAGTCATATATGGTAATTTACAGACTTTATTCTGCTATTCATAAATTAGTAAGTGCTTAAAATATACTTTGGTGATCATATAATCTTATATCTAGACTTACATGCATACTTCTTTTTAATATGTCAACTTTTTTCTCCCCTCAGCTTGGAAAGGTACAGAAATACAATTTATTTAAAACAGGGCGGTAATAGATAAAAGAAAGTATCTATTAGGATTAGCAAAGATAATTGTGTGAATAAGACTGTCATTTTATTTTCATTTATATGTCCATATACTCTAAGATGAATCATTTCGTCTTTAAGTTGACTAGTTCTGGTTTTAGAAGACTTCTCCAGAAACAGGAGATCAGTATTCTATAATGAAGAGGAGAAGTTATAAAGATAGCTTCATTCTTTTTTCAATCTCGGTTATCTCGAAATTCTGAAGAGTTTTATTAGATAGTCAGAAGAGAAATTATAAGCCCTAGGTAGCAACTCTTTGTTCTTTGACCCAAATTTTATATGCTAAAATTAAAGTAAGCTTTCAGAATAAGTTAAAGAAAAATAGGTCATAATGACAGTGTTATCTCAACCTCTAGTGGGACATTGTTACTGGGAAAGATATTTTTAAATTAAAGATTACATTTGTAGATTATATGACCTGTCTCTAACCGTATTTTTTTAAGTGAATTCTTAGATTCACTTGTAAATTTTAGCCTTCCATGAAACTACTCTCTTGCCATCACCTGTCGTTGTTTTCTCCTTTTCTTTCCCCCTGCTATTTCAATAGGATATACGTCATTTACTTCACTTAATTCACATAGCTGGAAGTAGAGCAATAAGGAAAAGGTAGTTTATTGCATATGTGCTAAGACCTCCTGAGCTGATTTTAATGGCATGTAAAGACCAGGGGTCTCTGCCATTGTTTCACTCCAGCCCCTAATCCTTTTTCACAGATTTTGCTAGCTACTGGATAGAGAGAGAATCTGCAAAGACATATTTGGTTAAGAGTCATACATATACACATCCTTTGTCCCACACTGGAATCAGAAATTCTTACATGTTGATGTGCCAGAAGACGAGAGTTGGATCCACAAGCTATCCTTTTCGAAAGCTGTGTCTCTGAATCCAAACCATCACCATGCTAGAACTGCTCTTTAGAGACAAAAGAAAAATATTGCAGGCTGTAAATTAAATAGAGGTATTACTGAGTGGTCCTCATTTAGTTTAGAGCCTTTAATACTTATTTTTCTAAATAAATCAAAAGTTTTATCTGATTTACCTTTTTACCTGATTACAATGTAATTCATTGACATTAGAAGAAATATGTAAAATACAGAGAGGCATTTTGGCAACAAAACAAAACAAAACAAAAATTACCTGTAATCCCACTATTAATATAATCCAATTCACTATTATAGATAGTTACTATATTAATGTGGCGAATCTACTTCCAATGTGGATGTCTCATATATAAGCTTCTGTTCTTGCACTCTCACACACACTTCATTTTAAAACAAAAATAGGATCATTTTTACTATTTTTACTGTGTTGTGCACTTTAATGTCTTTAATACTGGACTGCTTTACTATACCTGAAGTTCAACAGTCACCTGTCTCCTTTCAAAAGCCCCAGTGCTTTTTATTTAATTCCTTCAAGAACTCTGTGTGTTACTAATTATTTTCATTTTACAAATTGAAACACAGGAAGGTCAAGTAATTTTGTTCAAGGCCACATAACAAATGAAGTAGAGCCAGGATTCAAACCCAGGGAGCTTGATTTCAGAGCCCATTCTATTTCTTTTTTTTTTTT